TTAGAAGGCGTTCCCACCCACTTTGTTCTCTTCTGAAGTTCGAGAATGACTTTGTACTTTTTTCAGTCACATAGCAGAAAACCAACTTGATAAAACTTGGAGGGGAAAAAATGAAACTTGTTGGCTCTTCCCCAGCACTGGGGTGTGATGGAGAGGTTGGGCCCACCTGAATCACGTGGCCTCAGAGTGGGGAAGGGGTGGCCCCTAAAGGAAAGTGGAGATGCGGCTATCAGAAGGAAGAGGGTGCTAGGCAGAGCCCGACACTTGGCTACCCCAAATCCTCATGGGCCCTCAGCCATACACACAATGGCACCACACACAATTTCACATGGACTCAACGCTGGGGGACCATCAAAGTTTTACCTGGTTGCTGTATCCAGCCCTTCTGATGTTCTGTACAGGATCTCTCACCCTGTCCTCTGTCCCTCTTTGGTCCCTAGTATGGACACTGGCAATCAGATCTCTTTTTGCCACTTTAACATCCTATTTTCTAAGTTTGAATTTGGGGGGGGGTCTCTGAGCATTGTCTTAGAGCCTCTGATGATTGTGTTTGGGGGCTCTTTGCAACAGGCCTATCCCAGCTAGTTGTTTAGTTTGTGTACTGCACAAAGTTCTCATGGTGAGAGAGTGAGGGACTGTGTCTTCCCAGACAAGGAGGGTGTCTTTATCCATTTCCCATAAGGGCTCTTATCAGCTGGGATTGGTCCTGTCTCCTGACTATACAAACACTTTTAAAGTTTAGTAAGGCTGGGCGCCAGTGGCTCATGCTTGTAATCCTAGCTACTTGGGAAGTTGAGATTAGGAGGATCACTGGAAAATAGTTCTTGAGACCCCATACTCAAAATAATCACAGCAAAAAATGGACTGGAGGTGCGACTCGAGCATTCGAGCGCCAGCTTTGTAAGCATGAAGTCCTGAGTTCAAGCCCCAGTACCACAAACAAAATAAAACAAAAAACCAACCAAAACTTAGTAGGCAATTCAGTTAGAATGCTTTTTACAATAACAGAAACCCCCAACTAGCAAAAATCAAATATACATTTTTTTTATATTGTGTAATCCAAAGGCAGGGCAACAGATGTAACAATAGCCAAAGAAAGGTGCCTCCTTCTTAAGAGTGGAAACCTTCTCTTTTTAAAATGAGGATAGATTTTTTTCTTTTTTTTTTTAAATAAATTTTTATTAGGATATATTCATTGTACAAGAGGGATTCACTGTGACAATTCCAAATAGACTTATATTGTACATTGGTTAGCTCACCCCCGCTGTCTCCCCCTCAACTCCCTCCCCACCCCACTTAAAGCAATCGCAAGAGGTTTCTTTGTTCTACTTCACGTAAGTATATGAAGTCCATCAACCATACCCCCTCACCTTCATCTCCTTCATTCACCCCCCCACAAGTACCCCTCAATACACACTGTACCTATTTTATAGTCCTGTCTTTCGTTATTAATATTTAAACTGATATTCAAAGAGGTTTCTTAATGTATCCCTGCTGTGAGTATACTTTACTTTGGTCTGTTCAACCCCTTCCATTGCTCTCCCTTACCCCTTTTACCTAAGAGTAGGAAACCTTTTCTAGAAGCTTCCATACTGACCTCCCCTCACATGCCCACCTGTTAACCAATCACTTGCCAAAGGGAATAGGATCTCCTCCACGGTCTTAGACTTTCCTGAGAGCGTATGCTTCCACACAATCTAGAATAAATGAGGATGGACAATGTGACAGCAGGCCTCTATTTGCATTGGGCACTTGCTGGTGACATACCTTGAGGTTTCTTTCTTGGGGTTATGGGTCTTTCTGCTGTTTCTCCCCACAGCTTTCAGCCTAATGGCCTCCATCTTTGCCCCTGGCTTGGTCCAATGTGGAGCAATGCCATGGGGTAAGGAAGACAGAGCTGTGGCCCTGTCCCCAGACTACATTCTAGAAATTGGTCTTTACCAAGAGGTAATTTCAGTTTTCTGAGGTGCTGCGGAGAGGTCCAGGGGATCAGGCCGAGCCTCCACCTGAGACCTCAATTCCTCTGCCTCCATGCTGCCAGTTTCTTGTCAGTGCTGGCCCAAATTTTTGCTTGCAGCATGGAAAATGCTTTTGGCTATCTTTGATTCAGGCTGGAAGCAGAATGAGGCTGTCTTGGTGAATTGTGCCTTTCCCCTGCTATTTGATTTTTTTTTAGAGCTTGTCTTTTCTGGAAGGAATTCATAGGAGGCCCAAGAACTAGCTGACATCTCCCAACATAAGACTTATGAGCAAGAGAGATGCAAAATTATAAGACCACTTTATATTTGGAAATAGAAAAAGGTACATTGTTTTCATAATGCAGGCTCAGGAAAGGCTCTCCAAAACCTTCACTCCAGGTGGGGAGCAGAGGAGAGAAACTCCAGGGTACTAGGGGATGAGGGATGCTGAAAGCACTGGGCAAGATGTGACTCCTGGCCTGCGGATATTTACAGACTCCTTGGGGAGACAAAAATAGTGCTCCAGGAACAAAAAGGGAGAACTAAATGTGAGTTCTGTGTTCAAGTGCTACAGTAAGGGCCCATTTCCTCTGTGCTTGACAAAATCCTACCATTGAGACTCAGGTCAAATGTCACTGTCTTCGTGATGCCTTGCCTGGACCCTCCTTTAGAGGCCACAGTGTATCTCTGAACCCTGATGGTACTTTTCTCACTGTATCACAGAATGTGCTGTCCAGGTCTCCTGCAGCAAGAAGAATATGCCAAGCATATTCCCTTGCATGTTTAAGCCTGTTGGTGATAGCTTCTTGGAGACCTGTTGGAGAGCCAACAAGTTAGCTGGTTCCTTCTGTCTTCCCTACTAGACTGTGAACATGGCCTGAGGTCAGGGCCATGTGTCTTGTTGTCATGGCAGAGGGGGCAGTGGCTGCACCAGAAGGGTGAACAAAGGGCTGAGCGTTCTGAGGAGTAGGTGGGGGAGAAAGAGGTGGCAGAAGAGGCAGCCGGGGCCAGTGAGCCCTGACTGGGGCTGAGCACAGGCATGCAGAGGACAGCCTTCATGGAGATGCTGCATCTGCTAAGGGTGGGTTCCAGGTTTATGGTCTTCCTAGAGTTCGGCGTGGACAGGGTTGTGGGTATATATTGTGAAGACTGGCCAGGCAAAAGGACTAGATGGAAAGCAGAAAGGGCAACCTGGGCTGTCACTGGTACCCAAGCCTGAGGTGTTAACAGAGCAGTCCCCATGTGGTGCTTGTGAGCCCCTGTGGATTTGGGTAGTTTTGGGTTATATGTCTCTGTGATGAGGTCAGTGAATGGAGCCCAGCAAATTCCTCTGGGTGCATCCCCATTTCTCCTATACTCTGTACAGCTCCAGCATGGATCTGTTCCTGGGTCTTACCATCCTTCTGTTCAGATGGTATTTGGGTCCATTTCCCGCCAAGAGCACCCTGGACCTCAGGGACCTATGGTGTGGGATAAAGGCACTGCTGGTGAAAATTAGGACTCTGCTCCAGCTGCTGCTACCATGGCCTGACTCCTACAAGGCCACTTTGGCTGGAGTAGAGCTGAGGAGTCCCCTTCAATGGCCTGGGCTCCAGTGGGAATGTGTTCTGCACAAAGTAGGCTGGGCAAAGCCAGGAGGGCAAGGAGCCTTCCAGGATGGGGGTAGAGACCCTGGCTAGCTCTATCCCAGGAACATAGGAGATAGGAACACTTAATTGGGCATCAGGCCCCAACTGGTGTGGCCTCTTGGAGTCCTGGCTCCTTTTCCACTGCCAAGTCAGCGAACAGGACCATAGCCCAACTACCATGTGTGATGGTGAGGCTGTGCCCTGCTCTAAGTTACTTCATAGAACAGTTACTTCATATAACAGTAGCTTTCAGGCTGTGTTTTCCTGAGTGATGCCATTTTATCAAACAGCAGTTTGCTCCACTTTGAGCGCAAATACTGAGGCAGAGTGACTCTACATCTTATTCATGCAAGTAAACAACCACCGTCTGTCCAGCAGAAACCGTGAGACACAGACTGATAAATAACTTATTTATGCAAATAATATATTAGCACCTATGGACTTACCAAATTAAATCAGAAATGCATGGACACGTGGGCATATCAAAACCATATCAGAAAAAACAGGCCCAGGAGCTTATGAATATACCAGACCAATGAATGATGCAACCACTTCACCCGAATTATCTGATGCTAGGGGGAAGGTGATACCCACTCACCCATCATCAGACCATCCAGTGCAAGTGTCATGGTGTCAACAGGGACTCTGTCCCCGGGATTCCAATTCCGCTCAGCAAGATCCCTTTGCTGGAATTGCTGTTCCTGCAGACCCAGTAATCTTGGAACCAGCTCCACACTATGGCAGCCCTCTGCCTGAATAGCTCAGGTTCCTTACTGTGAATATCTTATCTAACCACCTGCAGTGACTCTTTTTGCATCAGCTCTTTCCTTTAGTTAGGCCCCTGCACCCTGCAGCCACTTTAACCCTTTCTTTGCCATTCTGTAACCTCTACATCATTGTGTGAAGTGTAATGTGTGATCTGAGAGTTAATGTTATTAAGACTGGAATAAAAGAGCTTGTGTTTGCCAGTGGCCACAAATACCAAGTGAAAGCAGGAGTACTTGGTGAATTAAAGCTAATGAAATGAACGTATAGCTTGTGACTTTATTGTTACTCACTCAATTCTGACATTGTGGGAAGACACGAATGTCATCCATGTTTCTGATATAGCTCATTCACAGCAAGGTCTTTGTGGTTGTGGGCGGCATGATGAATCCCAGTTGGGAGGCTTCTGGCCCAGCTGACCCTCCTGGCCAAGGGTGGAAGCCTGGCTTATCTCTCCACCTGCCCTGTTCCCTGCCACTTTATCAGGAAGGGTGAAAAGGTACCAGAGCTCAAAACTTCCACCCTCCCCTCCCCGTGGGATCAGATCCAGCTGTGAGGGGGAGCACAGCCAGGAGACCTCTGTTCCTGGGTTTAAAAGGCCCCATACTTCAGTCTTGGCCTCAGTCTGTCTTTCCCAGCTGGCTTCAGCATGAGGGGCCTGCTGATTTTAAGTGTGTTGCTGGGGGCTGTTTTTGGCACTAAGGACTTTGTGGGGTAAAGGTTTGGAGAGGGGAGGGCACCCTGAGGAGCAGTGGGGAGGATTCACTTCCAACCAGTGTGTGGAGGAGGCACACATTGTGCCTCTCTGTGAGAGAGCGCAGCCAGAGAGGACAGACTGGTTCCACCCTGGGGAAGCAGGCTGGTGGGGAACAGGGCTGGGAGGGGTCAGGCCCCTTGGGGAACTCTCCTGAGCCTTGGAGGGAGCTGAGCTCTCAGGAGGAATTTTCAGAAGAATGGGAAGGAAGAGGTCTGGCCAGCTTGTGAGGAGGAAAAGTAGTCTAAACTGGGTTGAGGACAGCAAAGTCTAGAAATTTCCCAAGAAAGCAAGAGAAGATACAAGGGAGGCCAGCCTCTCATTACTGAGATCTCTTGTGCCTCTTCCTATTCAGCCAAGAGGACCCAGGCCCTGCCTGGGGACTCAGACTGCAGCTCTTCCCCAACCTAGGCAGTTGGTGGCCAGGGAAGGGGTTGCCTCAGGTCTCAGTGGATCTCCTGATCTGCCCAGGCACCAGGTGCTCCGAATCTCTACAGCCAGTGAAGTCCAGGTGCAGAAGGTGAAGCAGCTGGAGGACCTGGAGCACTTGCAGGTCAGAGGCAGGGAGAATGTCTCTTTGAGGCCCCAGGAGACCTCCCAGGACAGCAGGGCACACCCCAGACCTTCATCACCCCCTATAGCCACCTGGTACCTGAGCTCTGTCCCTGCCTTCCAGCAAGGAGTCATGGGACTATTCTCTATTAAGAAGCGACTGGCTCCAATACCTCAGTTCCAGATCTTTCTGCCCTTTAGCATTTGGCAAAGTGGATTTCCTTTTCATTCCCTTGGTCTACCTTACTGTCTCAAAGCCTCTCTACTCTGGCCATTTCCTGACCACACCATGCTTTGTCTGTCCCCAGGTTTCTCCTCTTTATCTGCCCCTAGCACCCATGCCCCAGCCCCAGTTATATGGGAGCTTTTGACACCAACACCCACTCCCAGGCTGGCCCTGTCCTAGCTTGCTGTCCTGGTGGTACCTCCAGCCCACTGTGACAGTGTTGGCTCCTGTCTTCCCAGCTGGATTTCTGGAGGCACCCTGCCAGGCCTGGCATCCCCATCGACGTCCGAGTGCCCTTCCCCAGCCTCCAGGCTGTCAAAATCTTCCTGGAGTCCCACGGCATCAGCTATGAGATTATGATCAAGGACGTGCAGCTGCTTCTGGATGAGGAACAGGAGCAGATGGCCACTGTCCAGACCCGGGCCGCGTCTACTGATGCATTTAATTATGCCACCTACCACACCCTGGAGGAGGTGAGGGCATGCTTCCCAATAAATGTCAGGCTTTTCACCATGGCTGGCAGAATGTGCTCCAGAGCCAGGGCTGGCTTGGGTGTGGATAGCCCACCTAAGTCCTTCATGTGACCAGCATGGTCCAGGTCATGGCTCCATCACATTCCAATGGAGAGTCATTGCATTGCATTCTGGGTGCACAACGCCCTTCTTTACCGTCTCAGATCTATGACTTCATAGACCTGCTGGTAGCTGAGCACCCCCAGCTTGTCAGCAAGATCCAGATTGGTAGCAGCTACGAAGATCGTCCCATCTATGTGCTGAAGGTAATGCATGCTCAGATGTAGACACACATGCAAGAACGGGCTCTAACGTATGGGCATGGCTCCCACCGGAAGCCACAGTCTCAGGGGACACACTGCTATACACACTTTCTGTGCAGCTATTCAGGAAGGTCTGAACTTCTACAACACTGGCCTGGGTGTGTGTACACACATACATACACAACTTTAAACTCTGATGACTCAAGTGTTTCCAATCAATATGGAAAGTATCATGGAGACTGAAGAGACCAGATAAAACATTTAGTTGGTGATGTCCCATTGAGAACTATCTGAGCAGCAGAAAAGACTGCGGGCTGGAAGTCAGTTCATTCATCTTTGGCCCCAAGCTTGGAGCAGAAGGTCAAGTACGGTAGGATCTCTGTCCAGCCCCTAGCCCCTTTACCTACTTGAAGAATGGGTAACAGAACCTCCACCTCGGATATACAGACAGCAGGTAGTCTGTGGTCCAAGTGGACTCCCTTTCATGGGAGTGAGATAAGGCCCCAGCCGTGAAGTTGACCCCACTCATTTCCTTGCCTCCTTTCCTTCCAGTTCAGCACTGGAGGTAGCAACCGTCCAGCCATCTGGATTGACACGGGCATCCATTCCCGGGAGTGGGTCACCCAGGCCAGTGGGGTCTGGTTTGCAAAGAAGGTAAGGTTGGGAGGATGAGGAGGGCTCTTACCTGGAGGGGTGCTGTGTCCAAGGTCCACAGAAGCTCTTTCCCATCCATGAACAGGGACCACAGGGGGAGGGTAGGGAAGGTGTCTATTGCTCTAACATGGCAGATACTCTATGTTCTTCCCCTCTGCCCCCCACCAGATCACTGAAGACTATGGCCAGGACCCAACGGTCACTGCCATTCTTGACAACATGGACATCTTCCTGGAGATCATCACTAACCCTGATGGTTTTGCCTACACCCACAGCACGGTATGAGCTGCCTCTTGTTCTCAGAGAAAGCAGGATGTAGCTCTGAGCCTACAGCAATTTACCCCTAATCTCAACCCCCACAGTCAAGGAAGGGGCAAGTAGACCTGTCCTCCTGGATTGGGGATTCTCAACTTGGGACCTATTAACATTTTGGGCAGATGATTCTTTGTTTTGAGGGGGCTGTCCTGTGCAGGTTTTGTATTTAGCAGATCTTGACTTTCTCCCAGTTGATGCCTCCTGGTCATGATAACCAAAAACATCTCCAGACACTACAACATGTTTTGAAGGGAGATCAAAACTGTCCCTAGCTGAGAGCCGCTGCCCCGGCCCTTACCTTCTGGCCCTACTTTTATTTTTATGGTAAATGAAACAATGATGCTCCACATGTGCTGTGGGTTGTCTGATACCTTTTCTTTCCTCAGAATCGCATGTGGCGCAAGACTCGATCCCTCGTACCGGGCTCCAACTGTGTTGGGGTGGACCCCAACAGGAACTGGGACGCTGGCTTTGGGGGTAAGGCTCCCATGTCTTTGGCAGCAGAGACAACCCAGAATGGCTTCTGAGCCTCCATTGGTCTGGTTACCCTACCCCTTTCCTGCCCTGGTATCAGTGGGAAGTGTGTGGGATCTCAGCTCTGCCTCAAAGGGCTCTCAGTGTTAGATCCATGTCTATAAAAAGAAAGTTCCTTCCAGATGGAAATAAGGTCTGAAAGCCCATCTCCAGGGTTTCTAGCTTACCCTCAACTCCTTGGCTATATCACTCTGCCCTAACCTAGCTGGAAAGGGAGGCAGGGCTAAGGGTTATGAGGCCTCTGGCCTTTCCTTAATCTGAGGATGGGGTTGAGCCCCCATGTATCCCTTTCCCCCCAACCCCATACAACTTGTAGCTGCAGAAGTCATAGAAGCCATACCACTTCAGTTAGGAAATGCTAGCTCTACCCTTTGTCATCCCACAGAGAGCGGAGCCAGTGATAACCCCTGCTCGGAGACGTACCGTGGCAAGTCTCCCAACTCTGAAGTGGAGGTCAAGTCCATTGTGGACTTTGTGAAGGGCCACGGGAACATCAAGACCTTCATCTCCATCCATAGCTACTCTCAGCTCCTCCTCTACCCCTATGGCTACACATCACAACCAGCCCCTGACCAGAAAGAGCTGGTAGGTGACGACCCCACTTGTCCTTTGTCCCAAGGGCAGTTATGGGCAGCCTGGGTTTTCACCCATCATAGCTGCCAGAAGGCTGAAAGCCTACAGCATGCTCAGTACCTTTTCCCCCTTGAGCTCCTGATCGTTTGGGAAAATCAGCAGGGTAGACTAGCCTTTCCTTCTGAGAAACTGAGGCACAAAGTGTCATGTTATTTCTTTCACGTGCCAGAGCAAGTCTTTGAACTTGTGGCATGACATCTGGAGCTGTGGTGTGACCCAAGGCAGGGAAGTGCCGGCCAGCCATCCTGCCGGGACAGGCCTGTGATGCTGTCAAACTCCAGGGCTGACCTTCAGGGCCGAACAGGCTCTGTGTTCTCTGTGGGGACATGCTTCTGCTGATGCCTACTCCTGGACCATCCGTTAGCTCCTGGGCTATTCTAGCCCTGACAGGTGGCCCTACTTGCTGTTTTCTCCAGGATCAGGTAGCCAAGTCTGCTGTCAAGGCCTGGCTTCTCTGTACGGGACCCAGTTCGACTATGGCAGCATCATCACAACAATTTGTAAGTGGCCTCTTCTGGTGGCCCAGGACCAGCATCAGCTGACTCTTCTGCTCAAGACACCCATATCTGGGAGCCTGGGTGGGGAGAAGGGCCCTTTGTGCCTGACAGCTGGAGGGTGGGCTAGGCCTCTTCCTGACATGAACTCTGCCTTCTTTGACACTTTCAAACATGGATTCCTCTGAGCCTCTTAACCCCTTATCTTAGGGCTAAGTCCAGCCTCATGCATGGATAGGGTGGAGAGTTCTGCTGGGATTTGTAGATCACCAGGAAATTCTGCTTCAAAAACACTTCTGCAGGGCTGGGGGTGTGACTCAAGTGGTAGAGTGCCTATCTAGCAAGCATGGGGCTGAGTTCAAATCCCAGTACCACCAGTAAATCAATCAATCAATAAATAACATGTCTGCAGTGCCCATTAGAGAATACACTCAGTCTTTCCCCCACTTACTTATACTGTACATGTGATGGAAGAACACTGCTACACCAAAATGGAATTCAGCCAGCAAGGGTTTACTGAGCACTCAGGTCCTGTTTGGTGTGCCTGGGATACAGCATGAATAACTTAAGCAAAGATCAGGAAGCTTATGCTTGAGGTTGGGAGAATGACAAGGTGCTTAAATGAGGCAGTGTGTTAGGTGACAGATGTTGGGAAGAAACCTCACACCAGAGCAGGGTAAGGGGAATTGGGAATATCAGGGTAGTAGTTGAATGCCGGGGGCAAGGGGCAGGTGGCAGAAGGGCAGGCCTCATTGACACATAGGAATTGGGTCAGAATTGTAGGGGGAGCTAAGAGGCTATCTATCTGGGGAACTCTCCTCCAGGCAGAGGAACTTTCTAAGGGAAAGGCTAAATTGTGTGATCTAGCTTGGGGTGTTTTGGGACTAGCCAAGAGATTTTGTGGCTGCCTCAGAGTACTAAAAGGCAGAAGCAGGGTACAGGGACCAGAGTGGGAGGTCCATGCACCCACTTCATCTGCCCAGGTTTGGGGCAGTGAGTGGGTTGCAGTCTTATCTAAGGATGACCTCATTTTGGATCCCAGGCCTTCTTTAAAAACTGTTTTAACCCCAAGTCAAAGGTTTTTGCAATTTTCAATGTCAAGTTAAAATCTAACATCTATGTATAGAAATATCACAATGAAACCCCTTTATATGATTAATTTATGCAAATAAAAAATCTACCATGCAGCCCACCTCCTGCTGTCCAGCCAAGTGAAAGCAGGTTCATTAGGTATTGCTCACTGCAAACCTGGTAAAGTTTCCTCCCAGGGGAGATGGGGCCCTTTGCTTTGATTCTGAATCTTTGCACTCTCCTCTGCAGACCAGAACCCAGGGGCATTGAATCCCAGTTTCCCAAGCAGGGAGCTCTGGCATATTTAGAGGTGTCATCGAGGTGACTGTCGGGTGGGGACAGTTTTAAGACAGGCTTTTGCAATTGCACAGTCTTTCTTGCAACCCCCAGTGAATAAACAGGACAGCTGTTGCTGGTCTCTTTGGCTTAGAGCCATGGGGAATTTCCTGGAAGTCAGGCTACTTGTCACCAGCAGACCCTGGTAAACACAGCCTCCACTAAGCATTGCTCAAAGCTTCGGGCTTTGGGTGGCTAATGGGGCCCATGTCATTTCCCAAGTGAATGTTCTTGCTCTCCTCTGCTTCTGCTGATGCCCCAGATCAAGCCAGTGGCAACACTGTTGACTGGACCTACAATCAGGGCATCAAGTACTCTTTCACCTTCGAGCTCCGGGACACTGGGTTCTATGGCTTCCTGCTGCCTGCCAGGCAGATCATCCCCACCGCTCAGGAGACATGGCTGGCACTTCTGACCATCATGGAGTACACCCTGGAGCACCCCTACTGATCCGGCCCCTTGCATCTTCTTCCTCCTTCTGGCCCCACCCAAGGAATCAAATAAAGTTCAAATGTATAAGGAGCAGAATCTTGGGACTTGTGTGTGGAATGCATGTGGTGTGGCCACCTTTTTCAGCTAGGGCAGAAGTGATTTAGTTCCTGCAGGTCTTGATTGAAATGTGTGGGTGGTTAGACTGGATGACCCCTAAGTTCCCTAGCATTCTAGGGTCCTGTAAAGTTGTATCCAAGAGGTGTCTGTTTTAATTAGACCACCCTGAGCACAAACCACCAGTGAGGTAGGTTTGTTCATATTTCAGTAGCAGGCAGTAGCCACAGCTGCTAACCAAATGCCCAGTACCCCATGGTGGCGAGGAATTCAGTACGCACAATAGTCAAACTGGTTGTATCTATTCATCTATCACAGCAGTAACCAGGAGTATGAAATCTAATCATTCTGGTGGCCACTGCTGTCCCAAACAGATGTAACAGATGTTAAAGCCAAGGAAAACAGATTACAATAAAGCAAAATGTGGTCTCACACTCCAGACTGACATTGGAAAAAAAACAATTGGGTGAAATGCAATCACTCCCTGAAGATAAAGAGCCAACAGGCTGATGGGGACATTTTATTCCTTGTAGGTATCACAAAGGCTTAGCCTTTGGGACAGAATTGCTTCACTTTTCATTGGTTTACATCCTTCCTAGGACCCCGGCTCATCACTTCTGCCCTCTTGTTCCTTCTACCTTCTTCCCATAGCTCCTAAAAGTTGGCTTCCCTACCTTGGCGTGGTGATCTTGAGGCCTGTGACAGTTTTCTTAGTGGCTAGCACCACAATGCGTGGAGCATCCCGCCTTTTTTAAAGCAAGAATGTGCCTTTTGTTTCTTCCATATGTAAACTTGTTTGTATGTAAGCTTGTGACACAAGGTAAAAAAGGTGTTTCTGGCCAGACATTATGGAACATGTCTATAATCCCAGCACCTGTAGACTTAAACAGAAGGATCATGAGTTCAAACCCAGCCTGGGCTACATAGTAGGACCTAGTCTCTAAAAACAAGGTTTCAGTCTTGATGCAGAGATGGCTTGAGGATTTGGTAGCACTCTTCATGTTACCATTGGGAAAACAGTTCTCTTCAATGTGTGCAACAAGAGACTGTAGATAAGCTAAACCCATTTTAACTGCTGAGTTTAGCCAAGTAGGAAGCTGATCACCTTTTAATAAGCAATAATAAGAAAAAGAAATTAAGTTAGCATGAGGACATAATTATATCATCTAGATGGTAGAATTGCTTAATTTTAAAATAAACTGCTCTCTCCTTCTAGGAAGCACTTTTTTTGATATCCAATCTCCAATGCCATTGACAATATCTGACATATAGCTGCCCAATAATTAGTTACCCACTGAGTGAACTTTCTCTACTTTTGTTAATGAATTCATAATTTTTATCATCTGTATGTCATTGGCTTGCTGAAGATATCCATGTGTAAGTTACTTTGAATCACCAGATTTGTTTGTAATTTGGAAAGTAAGGCTCTGAGCAAGTAAGTGTCCTAGGAAAGTTGAAAAAGAATGGAGCAATGCACTTAAAATAAAATAATAACATTAACATCACAGTGAATGGAGATGTGGCAGATAATAATTAAACATTTTTTTTAGCCTTAGGGAGAGCTTTAAATTATTTGCAGATACATTTTTACCAATCTAGAGGTAATTTTTTAAAATTTATAAATAAAAATGTAAAGCTAAACGATAACAATTTTAGAGAATATTGCAACTTATATGAAAATGTGTATTATTAACCTTGACGGGCTTAGGGTAGAAGTAAAGTAAGAGAAAGAAAAAGAGTAACATTTCAAAAGAAGAACAGGGAATTCCCAAAAGAAGAAACAGAAAAAGCCAAAAAATATATGAAAGATACTGATCCTCAGTGATTCCTTGTATTAAAGAAAAATAAAGATATTTTCTTTTCATCAGATTGGCAAAGAATAAAAGAATGATGATTCTGTGTTATCAAGGGTAGGAAGAAATAAGGACAAATACTGCTGGTGGGAGGACGTATATGTGCCACCTTCTGCAAATTTGGCAATTTAAATAAAAGATTTAAATGCTTTAATTTTAAATATATTGTCTCTTAGACCCAGAAAATCCACTTTGAAAGAACTCTTTTTCTAAAAATATTTGAAGAAGTTAAAAATATGCATTATGAGATTGGAATAGTAAAAAGTGAAGTACGTATAAAGGAAAAGAACCTAAATACTGATCAGTATGGACACTGATACCACCCATCCACATGATGGAATGTCTTGAAGCCATTAAATTCTGTGTTGACATGGAAAAATGTTCACAGCACACAAAGTAAAGAATTTGCTAAAATCACTGTATTTGGGCTTTGTGTGTGGTACTGGGGATGGAACCCAGTCTTACAGTTGCTAAACATGTACTCTACCACTTGAGCTACATTCCCAGCCCCACTGTGTTCTTAAAATGGGTGAATTTGATGGCATATGATTTATAATCAATATGGTTGTTCTTTTATAAAGTTGGCTACAAAATAGTATGTTGAATATGAATCCTATTTATGTTACACACACACACATACACATCCACCAATAATAATTGACTGTCTTGGGTAGTGGTGGTGGACTTGCTATTTATACTTTTCTGAATTTATGAACTTTTTTTTTTTTGGTGGTAGTAGAGTTTGAACTCAGGGTCTTCCACTTGCTAGGCAGGTGCTCTACTGCTAGTGCCATGCCTCCAGCCCCTTGCAATGAACTTTTGTAATCATCTTTAACAGCAGCTAACAAATCATCTGTGTGTAAAGTTACTTAACTTATTCTCAGTATCAACAATGTCAATGGCCATCTTCATCTTTGTTAGATTGTTTTTTATAATTTGTCTAAACCCATACTCTTCTGGTATCTTCCTTCACCAACTTTTCCTGAACACTGCAGACTGTCTTCAGAAAAATTCATACTGCAGACAGCTGGAAGCCTCAGTATTACTACTTGGGCAGGGATGTCTCAGGTCCCCAGCTGGGACTATTCTCTAAGCATTCTGCTATAGCTCCGGTGCAAACTCCCAAGAGGCCCTTCTGCTCACATTCAGATCCCATCACAAACTTGGGAATTGACTATGCCAATACCTATTCTCCAGGGCCCCTTCAAGATCCTTCTTTTTAAGTAAGCTCATTTTCTTCTTCCTTAGACCTTTACAGGTGGTTCTCAATGTGGCCTGTGGGCCACTGGTGTCCAAAGAGAATCCTCAAATACTCTCTGGAATTAACACTCTGATATGTATGTCTAGCTCACTGGCTTCGGCCTGATGTTGAAACTGAAATGTCACTGAATATGATCCAGATATGACCTCACTGGTCCCTCATCCAATGCAGAGCTATTCATCATCCTGGCCATCGTTTTGCAAAGGCAAGTGGGACTAGGAAGACTTGACAATGTGCAGGGGTTTTGCTTGAAGGCCTGTGCAAACGTCATCCTGTGAACATGCTAAGACCCAGATGCTACCTAGACCAACCATAACCTTCACAGTGGCCAGGCCAACAAGAGATCTGAGAAAAGCACCGAGCACCCATCAAATCTGAGCAACTGTCAAAGGATAATGAATTCTTCCCTGAAGCTTTCAGGATTCGCATTAATTTGGCAACTCAAACTGTGAGCATCATCTAACAGCCCTAGAGACCAAGATTGCCAAGTGTTTATTGCCAAAGTAAAAGGAGAAAATGAAAAGTCCCTGTTTACCCACAGTCATGGTGTCAGCTGCATTTTTAGCGAATGCAGTGGTGGAGGAAGTGCTCTGCTGGCACAGGCTGTAGAAAAGAGGTTTGCCTCCGTTTCCCCATGAAACCTACATCTGTTTCCATTGTCTGTGGCCATTGTCTGGCAATTTGTGTTTCAGTCAAAATCAGAAACATCATCACAAAGGAACGAGATCAGATATAGATCAGATCAACATGAGTTACTAAATGAATAACTCAACCTATTTGGAAAACAGCCTGTCCCTACCACATCTCCATCTAGTTATATAAAGTTTATAACTTCCCTTCCTTAAGTGGACGTTCACAAGATCTCTGTGATAGACAAAATAAAGCTCAGAAGCCCTGGACAACTGTCTTGAAGACAGGACATTGGAGACGCTGTGAAAATGTGAAAGTTGGTATTTCCAGGAACAAGTGTTTTAGTTCCTGGATTCTCACTTTTTTTTTTTTTTAATTTTTTAAATTAAAAAGTTTTTCATTATATTTTGTTGTACTGGGGGTACACTGTGACACTTACAAAAGTTCTTACAATGTATCACAGTTGAATTCGCCCCCTCCTCCCACTGCTTTTTGTGCAGGCAGGAGGAGGAAGGCTTCCAGTAAAATCTCAGTGATGAGGAGAGAAGGGAAGCCAATAACCAAGGAAAGTTTGTTCTCATTGGTAAACGAGGGTATCCCTTGCCCAGGGAGCCAGAACACGGCGGAGCCTGCCTCATGTGGGAAGAGAGTGGGATGCTCACAGGAACATGCTCTGCAGTCATCATTCTCAGGCTAGATCCTAGCTTCACATCAACTCAGTGACTCAGGGCAAGATGTCTTCTTTCCACCCACACCTCAGCTTCCTCTTCTGAAACTGGGGTACCTGCCTCATAGGGCTGCTGGGAGAATTAAGAGTCAAAATATACCGCAGAGAATCTAGGAGTGCTACCTAACATGTGTAAGCTCTCCATACGTGTTTTCTGGTATTATCATCCGATTTGAAAGGTGAGAGAAAAATAACCCTCTCTCAGATGGGGCCAGTGGGCCTCCTGTCCTTAATGACTTCTGAAGACCACTGAGGGCCTGGCAGGTAGCAGCCAGGCAGGGTGACAGTAACTCCCCAAACAGCTCTCTGAGCATCTCCCATAGAGGGGGATCCAAAACCCTGTGTACAAATGCAGGATGTACAACTGGATGGAAGATAATGAATTTTCTGGGTCTCCAGAATGCAGGCTAGCACTGAGTGGCACCACAATGGTCGTTACGTTGCCCTTTGGTCTTGACAGATTCAAGTCATTTACTCACAAATACTTATTTAAAGGCTACTGTCACAGAGCTGATGACTTGCACCCTCTGGGAGCTTACTGTCTAAACTTCTAACGGAAGACAGATTGATAATCTTTAAAACACGTGGTCCATCAGCCAATAGCATTTAATAAGTAATTTCTGTTCGTCACACATTTTACTAGGCGCCTTGACGTTACACAGGTAAAGACAATTTGCTTCTAAATTCACAACACAGAGGATCTGCACCAGAGGGTGAGACCATCAGGGGATCTCAGTGTGACAAATACAGTTTTGTAAACACATAAAAAAATCATGAACTGAATCCTGTTCTGTCATAGTTCAACATGAATAAATTTCCACCATTACATTTTCTTATGCTCTGATCAGGGTACCAATCTAAGGATGCCTTTTACAATTTTAATAATTTCCATAAGTCTAGGAAAGTATTGTTACCTAAATGTATTCTGAACACTTTGGAAGCACAGTTTGTCTTATTTATTGCTTTCATCTGAAAAGTACATTTGTTAATTAAAAACTAATTGAACTGCACATAGGTACCCAACATGCCCATGTAATTAAATTGATGAATTATAATCCATGTTTCTGATTTTTTTTTTGGGGGGGGGAAAATATTATGGGACTTAAATCTTTGAAAGAATTGTGGTGAAAATAAACGCACATTAAAGACCATTCTGGAAGTGGTGAAGGATTATCTTTGGGGTAAGCAAGAAGGTTGTTGTGGAGTTAAAACCAGGGGGACCGAAATTAGTTACCCCCCCTAAAAATGTCAGGTAACACAAAAGACAGAATCTAGAACCAATAAACAACATGGCAGAAACTAAAAGCAACCAAGAAAAACCACCAACGTATTTCTTCCAGCCCAGGATTCTGACTTCACTTATATTCCCCAGGGAATTAGAAAAGAGAAGGTTTTTGTTTTGTTCTGTTTGCTTAGTGAGTAGCTAAAAGTCTTAAGAATTTCTGTATAATCTAAAAAGCACAAGGAAAAAAATCTGAGCAACTAATGAACAATATTTATTCTCTTTTAATTCCAATTTACACCAAGTCCAATATGGTTGTGCTGGCTTTCTACTACAGGTAAAAAATGAAAATTACTTTTAGGGCTTTCAAATCAGTCTATGGTATTTAATAGATTAAATCTGTGTTTTTGAATGAGTACTATAGCATTCTCTTCCCTTCTTCCATCTCTTCCTCTCTCCCTTTTTGTCTCTCTTCTTCCCTCCCTTCCTTGTTTTCTTCCACCCTCTATTCTTCTCTTTCTTAAATACAAACTTCCTCTTTGAGGCATTTAACCTATTACTAAATTTTGGCCAACACAGTTGCTGGGTGTAGCTACAAAGCACCTTCTTTCTCAAAGGTTGTAAATTCCTAGGCAAGATCAGCTTGGTCAGTCCCTAAAACACTGGCAAGAAAGCCACTTGAACATTTTACAATCTGTTCAAAGTGGCCATCAATGTCTTCCTGAGCCAGGAAAGAAACCCAGGTCTTCTGACTAGAGAGCTCAAGTCTCTTGCTCTCATTGGAACGATTTCCTGACTCATTTATACACAGAATACACGTCTTTCTGGGAGATACAGCAAAAGGAGGTAATCTTTCAAATCACACCAGTCTCCTGGGATTCCCCAAATCATCTTGACAGAGAGGAAGAGAGAAGTTGGCAGGTTCAGCGCATTAATAGCAAACGACAAATTAGTAACTATGTTCTTTAATCTTCAACATTCATAATTGCACAAAGTATCACTGATCATTTAAATAATACATGTCAAATAATCTAATGAAGAAACTAGTAAAGTAGAACGTTAAAAGGAATACCTCTAGCATGTGAAAAAACGTCTGAGAGTAATGCTTAACACATACAATGCAGAATCAGAACCGGTTTTATGAAATAGTTTAATCTTTACCAACAGGGCAAAGTACTATGGAGAAACACACAGAAATACATTCATTCTGCTAATGTGTCCGGTAAACACACAGCAATCTGAAAGCTTGGCTGAAATGGCTTTCCACACTATCTACAACAGTTTCTAACACTAGTATCTGTGGGGAACGATCCTTTACTTTCAAAGTACATTGGGTGGGGAGGTCTAATCTCCTGACTAGCCAGCTTTAAAATGGCATAACAAGAACTTTGTTTCATAGAAAAACACTTTTCCTTAAAAACATATACACATCAAAGATGGCTGAAAATCCTGTCTATACTAGGGGAAAGCTGAGTGTGAAAAATTTGCATTTTTCTATCTATGTTGTAAAGAAAATAAAAGCCAGAGCATTTTGGCATTAGTGAAAGGCTGAACTAAGTTCTCAGGCAATAAATTTATGGGGAAACATGACAGGCTCCTCATTAAAGCTATGTGTATGTTGGCTGAATTTTATACAAGATTCTTGAATCTTGTGGAAAATTGGGCACGGCTTGACATCTGAACAATGTCCCTGGTTTGTTTGATTTCTAAAGCATCGGAAAATGTTGCACTTTGGAAATCAAGTAGAGAAGAATAAACACATTCTGAAACAGAGCTGGGCTGAATCTGAGTTATTTTTCCATATGTCTCCATGCGATATTTATTACGTTTATTTCTCTTACAAACACAGCCCTCATGCTAGAAATACTGTGGTGCTTTTTTTCTCTTTTTGGTGGCAAGAAAATAGTACTGTTAAGGCAAGTCTCACAGAGCAGCGACAGCCACCTAAGGATGGGCAATTTTCAGTGGGCTTTTCAAAGCTGGTTGCCATGACAAAGAGCACAATTTATTCCTTAGTCCCTTATCACAGCTACGATCACAGGCCATAAAAATTAACAAGGCTCTTTTCCTTTTCGTATGATTTCAGAGTTCATCCTTACCTGAGATCTTTTGTTCCCCCAATTAAACAGAACGTCAGTCATCTAGCAATTCAATTAATGCTGATTCAAAATTCCGGCCAAAACCAGAATCTATAATCACAACCTCCTAATCACAGCTCAGTCATGAGCATGAAAGGTAAGCAGGAAATTGCACTAATTACTCAATTAGACTAATACTGTATTTTTAAGCAAGGGCTTAAGAGGTTGTCAGCCCTGACAAAGGACTCTAGAGTCCTCCTCACCTTGTGCGGTCCCCAGGTGCCTGAGCAAAGCTCACATTTTTAAGTGGCCATGATTTCTACCCATCTGACATGGATGAACTTGAGTTGGGCAATGGAAATTTACAACAGTGATACCAACCATTGAGGGAGAGCTGTGGTGGGCTTCTAGGGACTCTCAGCACAGGCCTGTACCATGGCCAGGGTATCCTGTGTGATGCCTTCCTCCCAGTGTGATGACAGCTAACCACCCCCTTTCTGGCCCCAGGAAACCATTTAATGAGGAGAGCACTCAGTAAGTGCAGAGCTTCTCTACTAAACTGTAAAACTGAGCCAGGCTCACAGGACAGGCCTCCTAACTCAACAGAGCCTGCAGCATGCTGGGCGGAGCGCCTCAGCTAGCACCTGCGCCTGGTGTGGGGCCTGTGGCTGCAGAACAGGATCATCCACACCCCAGGGGACAGAGGCCCACGCCAAGCCCACCTGGACAATCTTCCAGGAAATCAATAGTAAGCGAAAAAACCTGGTTGGATAGAACACACCAGCAGATGTGACAAAAGTATTTACAAAACACTGGGTATAGACCAAACAAGCTGGACCTTATTGTTTTTTTTTGAAAGGGGGAGACAGGGGATTATTTTTTTCCTATTCAGTCTCAAAAGACTTACATATACTGTAAACACAGGGAGGACACTAGAGCCTGTCACGCTTCTGGTTTTTGCGGTCATCTGTCAAAATCCTTCCGGAGCTGGCTGAAGGGAGAGGAGATGGATGGAGACAGGGAAGGAAAAGGGCCTATCCCACCTCACCATTTTTCTTCTACAGCACTTTCTGAAAATGACCAACTTGGGAACTGCTTGGGGGCCCGAAAGGAGGGGAAACATTTATTTGACTAAGCAAGACAAAGTCTACTTCCAGGGTTTGCCTTGTGGGTGGCCACTGCTGAGTGCACGGGGGTTCAAGTGGCCGCCAGGGGCCCCGGCGGGTAGGTTCTGACCACTGCGGGCAACAGGCACCTTGGAGTCTCTTCCGCAGAAGTTACTTTGGATCAGTCGGCCTGAAGGGAACAAGAAAGAGGAACAGAGCTGCGAGAACAATTCCAGGGATGATCCCTCAAGTATACTTTTAAGCTAATGAAGCCCTATGCAGCATCGACTTTGAGACAATGATGACCTACTCCTCATCCTTGAGATCAGCTTGAAGTTGGGAAGGGGGTAGGAATGGAGGGAAACCCAGATAGCTTTTTTTTTTCTTCTTCATTAACCTCCACAAATCCAGATAGTCTTTCACTCCTTCCTTGGTAGGAGGGGTGCAGCATGAGGAGCAATTAGAAGAGGGAGAAAAGAAACCAGGGGGTCAAAGGTAAGGCAGTAAGACAAACCAGCAAGACTCTGGGAAGTGGCTTAAAAGAACCCAGAAGCAAAAGGAAAGGAAAAGCTCCTAAGAAGAATCTGAATGCCTCATGATTGGTTCCTCAACTCTGCCTGAGACACACGCTTTGACGGCTCAAGTCTCATCTCCATGATTTTTGACCCATCACTTCATCACACCCATGGCTTCAAATATGTTAAGGATCTGACTATAAAGATGAAGTCCGCACATGACGAGATGAGGTGAAACCGTGAATCTCAAGTCTATAGAAAGCAAAGGTTGCAGTATCTTACTAGGGTTGTCTGAAGGACCCTGGTCCTCTTCCAGATAATACTCTATCTTTTTTAAGTCTTCTGGGGTAAATCTCCATTTGTTTTCTGCTGGCGGGGGCGGCACTTTGGGGCTGGACCGTTTCCGGGCAGAACCAGGAGGAAGGGCCTGCTGGCAAGAGGCTGGCAGGGAACCAGTAATCAGTCCTTCTGGGAATTTCTGAGCTAAGACTTTCAGACCTAGAGATAGGAGAGCATCAAAAAAAGCAGGATTAACATGGAGGAGCCATACCAAGTCTGAAAAAACCCACATGTCTTCTAATCTTTGGTCACCTAGTTGAGGCCAATAAGGACAGGAAATCTTTAACTGTTTCACCATAAAGCAAGATACACCAGAAAGTTTTAGTTACTATGTGGGATTCTGAGCATTCCACAAGAAATCCTTTGCTCAAATCTTTAGCATTCTTAGAGCTCCGAGCAACATAGTTATTTTAGGAATTAAAAACAAGTGCTAGCTGGGCCCAGAGGTACATGCCTGTAATTTCAACACTTGAGAGACTGAAGCATGAAGTTCGTGAGTTTGAGAGCACACTGGGCTGCATAGCAAGACTCTGTCTCAAACAAACGAAACAAACAAAGGCTAGGTGTGGTAGTATACACCTACAGAACCAGATACTTGGGCGGCAGAGAGGGGAATATCATGGTTTGAGGCCCGCAGGGTAAAGTTAGTGAGTCCCTATCTCAGAAAAGAAGCCAGGTATGGTGGTTCAGGCCTGTCATCCTGGCTATTTGGGAGGTGGAAGGAGGATCATGGTCTGAGACTGACCCAGGCAAAAGCGAGAGCCTTACTTGAAAAATAAGCTAAAATAAAAAGGGGTAGGGGTGTGGTTCAAGAAGAAGGGGCCCGGAGGTCAAACCCCAGTACCAAAAGACAAAAACAGAACAAAAGAAAACAAAAAAACCCACACAAGAAATGCATGCTGATAGAGCTAATGGACATTTCACATAACTCTTTCTTCCTTCCAGTCAGCACAGCTTTCTCTCCTTGTGAACACTAAGTCTGAACACTGAGAAGAGAAAGGTGATGGGCTGGGTTAAAGGACTATGAGCCATCTTGTAAGTCCTAGGCAGAATGCAATCTTGCTCACCTCCAGAAAGCATGAAGAGGTTTTCAAACCCACGCTCACACATAGTGGTGGCCGCCTGACTGGCCAGTCTCTCATCGTCATCATACAGAATGATGATCTTGCCATGGGCATTTTTCTAGATGAGTTAAGGTTCGGGTACTGAGCTAATGTTTCCAGATTAAAAGAAACCCCAAGGAACACAGGACTGATATGTTCATCCTTCTGAGTTCAGCTCCTTCTTCCCCTTCACACCAGTGGTCACTGGATTTCTCCTGTCACAGAAACCAGGCAAGCTGGTATTCTTTTCTTTTATGAACTGGTATTACCTCAGTCCAAGATGGTACTTGTTACATACTTTATACCCTTTAGTTCTTTCATCCTTACGATTCTGGAAAGGAAATATTTCAATTTCCATTTTTACAAAGAAACAGAGAGCTTCTATGTACAATATATCCACGGAAGCCTTTCCTATAAGAGTAAAAAGGTGGAACCACCTAAAAGTCCAAAATAAAGGAATGGTTTAGTAAGTTACAGCAAATCTGAAGATGAGATGTTATACAGCACCGAAAATGGAGTTTTAGAGCGCTTGTATTAACATGGGGAAATACACTGTAATATGAAGTAGAAAAAAAGCAAGGCATTAAATTATACAAAATGACTTCAACTTTGTAAAAAAAAAAAACCCAGACACACATAGAAAACAGTATGAAATAAAATATACCAATAATGTAACAGAAGCTAATATTCTATTTGTGTGATGATGGGAGATTTCCACTTTCTTTTTTATATTTCTTGATTATTTAAATTATCTTTTACTTATATTATTTTTATGAATGGAAAAAATTAAAATTCTAAAAAGAAGAAAAAAATTAAAATAGAAAGATACTTGCTTCTTAAGTTCTCCTTGGGTAAGCTTTCTGGGGCAATAGAAGTCTTAGGACTAATTCTCAATGGATCACAACTCTTAGCCTACTTGTTTTGGGCCTATTGCAGTATGGTTTGGAAGCATCTGCCTTAATAGTCAAGATTCTTAGCCAATTTTAGGAATCCAAAATCTAAACTAGGCAAACCTGATCATGTCAGAGGTCCCTCATGGTTTCTTACCAGCAGCATGATTCATGATAAGTTTTATTCTTGTAACTCTCATACCATCCAACTCCTTAAAACACAACAAAGGATACATATTCGAGAATATCATTTGAATAGGGGTTCATTGTTCTGGACAGAGTTGCAATTGGGTAACTGTAGGCTGCAAAGAGAAAAAAAAGTTTAGGAAGACTGTAGCTCTCTTATTACAACTTGGCTCCAATTGCTAGCTGGTTGAAAAATCTAAGAGGCAAATATATTTTTTAAAATCAATGAGCCATAAACCTAAGTAGTTTTGTGAATGAAAAGCAACTGTGCACTCTGAACACAGGATGACGTTTCATTGTGCTGCTCACATTTAGTGCTGGGCTCCCGACCCACCTGAGAACATCAGCGGCCTCTCTCGGAGTGCATGGTGGAGTTAACTCAATGGGTTTCCAGCATGGATCCATGTACATTTTCCCTAGCTGCTAACCCTGGGCTGGGGTGAAGCCCACCTGTATCTAAGGAAGTGCCCGTTTCCAGGAGTGAGCACTCTACAGCCTCTTTCTCTCACCTCCAATGATGTGGCACTGCTGGTAAGAATCTCTATCACGCACATCTAGTAGCAGGAAGGGGCAGTCAGGATAAGGCTTGTCTTTGGTGCTCGGCTCTAATTTCTTCACTAGCCTTTTGTCTAGATCCAGTTCCCCAACACCGCTGATGACACTGAAGAGAAAAAGTAGGTCAGTAGAAACTAGTCGAGGGTGGGTAGCTTAAAGGTCAAATGCGTTTCTTTCAGAATGGCGAGATGGGTGCTAAATGCCTTTTCTAAAGGCACCTGAAAGGAAAAGGTAAATGGTCATAGTGTCTCAGGTTGGCCTCCAAATGCAGGATCCTACAGACTCCTAACACACTGGACCCCAAGAGGGGATCTGCATGTCCATACTTGTGTTCAGACAATACATGCCAGGTCATTACATGGTCTGGGATGTAGAATGTGTAGGGTACATGCTCTCCTCGAGCAACAAAGGCAGCATTCAGGGAAAGGAAGGAATGTAGTTAATCCACTGGATTTCAAGAAGTAGAAGACAGCACAACAAAGGGCAAGAGAGTAAGGCTGATAGGACAGAAAAAAATTAAAGGATGTTCCTATGTATATTAAATATAATATAAAGTAACAATAGTGTTTTATATATTTCATATTCAGTCATGTGCCTTGTAACACCATTTGGTCAACAATGGACAGCACATCTAGTAGTATTTCCATAAAACTGTATTACCTAGTGATAGTGTAGCTGTTTTAGTTTGTATAAGTATACTGTGTGATGTTCACATGATGACAAAATCACCTAATGACACATTTCTCAGAATGTCCCACCATTAAGTAATGCCTGACTGTACTTACACAATGACCTATCTGATATGAATACTGAACCTTAATGCTTTCAATGGTTATCTGCACTTATTTCTATTGTATACATTATGAGGTTGAGGTTGAAGACACTTCTGTATTTAGTGCCATTCATATAATGAAACAGAGGAATAGCTGGGGGATAGTCCTGTTTCTAAAGTTATTAAATTAATAGCATTAGTCACCATCTGAATTATATAGGGAAAATATGGTAGAAGCATCAAAAGACTAAGAAGACCAGATGCTGCAAACAAAAGAGCAAGTAATGAAATATCTGTACTGGAATAAGCAGATAGTTATTTTCCTAGGATGTGTTAAGACACACACTAAACCGCAGGTTAGTATTTAGCATTGTTACTCTACTTTCAAAGCAAATTCTGCATGTGAATCCAATAAACAATGTATCTCTATGCCAGAAGGTGCACATTTCATCAAGTCAAAAGAGAGGAAAATCTACCTGATGTGAAATTGCACCCTTGATGAAAGTCCTGTCAGCTATCTCTTCTAGAAGGCTTTTTCCTAGAGTTCTTTCACAAAAGTTGCTATGAAAATAACAACACAGTGCTATTGATGATAGCAACTCTTTCTCTAGTAGAACACGGTTTCTTGAACTGTTCTTCCAGGAGAAAGGATGGACTTAGGCTGAAAACTAGCACCAGTCTTCTAATCAATAGTTAACATGTATGAGAAAATGCCACATGGAGTAGTCCATGGGATGAGAAGGACCAGCACATGCATGCAGGGTTAGGGCCAATACCGAAGGCTACTTTCAGTGTCCTCTGCACCTATTCTATCTCACAGCGCACTGTGTGGCACTGTATTTTGTGAATCTAGACAGGGCAATTATAAGCTTCAGCAGACAGAAAAGAGGGCAAAATTCAAACTCTGAATCAAAAATAAGTCCTAATAACAAGCTTATACACAGAAGGACTGAGGAGAATACAACCGAGGAGTGAAAATTAATACTCTCCTGTTAATATAGTTGATCTTACATTAACTCAGTGAAGTTGCTGTGAAAAAGACTCACAAGGAAGCATTTCTACAAAGAGAAAGTAGGAGGGCTGAGTTAAAATGTGGAACATTGCTGCTGCCTGTCCTGTTTCTAAGGAAATTAAATTGATGAACTAGATTAAGGTGCAGGTAAAGTGTAGTGAAGACAGAATCAGAGCGTACCTCTGGAGAGTGGAGCGACTGGAATCCCCTGCTCCCGCGCTGTTGATGAATTGGACAGGGCTGGGTGACTGCTCAACGGGGCTCCCTTTCCCGTTGGTCCTGTTAGTGATTTCACCATCAGGGTCTGAAGTTGCAGAGTCATTGTCTAAGATTTCAAGTGAAGAAATAATTAAATTTAACCTCTAGATTTGTATTTACTTACTAGGCAGTTCCATTGAAATGAAGTCAGGAAAGAAAGTATCATCAGCATTATTAAGTTGTTCTAGAAATTCTAATGCACAGACTCTCAAAACGCAGTGGAACCCAGGAGCTCCCAAGACTCTTTTGGGAGGTCTGCAGGTGAAAACTTTTTCATAAACTGTTCTTAGTTTTTTGCTGTGTTGATATTTGCATCGATGGGCCAAAAGAAACAGCAGTAACATCATTAGCTCTTTGCCAAGCATCAAGGCAGCAGTACCAAACTTTATTAGCTGTCATATTTTTCACCATCACATGGGCTCTCACAGTAAATAAATATGGCATTCACATGAAAAATGCCCCTGATAAAGCAAAGATTAATAATTTTATTAAATCTCACCTTGAAATAAGCACACACAGCTGAGCTTGCTACATACCTCAGTACTGCGGGTATCTCAAGGCAAAGTATTAGAGTGAGTGACTGCCGGACTGCAGTTGACCCAAGCATTTTGCCAGGGATACCTTGTCTTGGTAAGAAAAACTGACAGAAAAACTCTGGTTACTTAGACTTGTGTTTTAAACATTTTCTCAAAAATGAAGTAAGTGAGCATGACATTTTTTAAGGAAAACAGCTGACAGAACTTGTTGTCAATGACTAAATTTTGAAAAAAGACAGAAGTTTGGAAACTGTATTTGCCATCAGGACTGAAGTTTGAAGAGCTGCGTCCCCAGACTTGTAGATGTTTCTGATCTCTGTACGTTTTCAGTGAAAAGGTACTTTCCAAATGACCAGTGCATGATAGAAAATCCTGCATGGGTAAAAGACTCATTGAAAGTGCACGAGACAGACCAATGGCTTTTAATGTAACAGAGTAAGAAAGGTTCACTGACATTATAGCTAACCTTTAAGAAATAACTAGCTGTCACCAAACAGCATAGCACCAAAGAAAAGCATATACAGTTATCTGAAAGGGCCATTAAAACACTCTTCCTTTTTCCAACTATGGGCCTATGTGAGTCATATTTTCTTCACATACTTCAACCCAACAGTAGACTGCAGCAGACTGAATGCAGAAGGAGGTATCAGAATCAGCTGTCTTCTATTAAACCAGATGTGAACCAGGAGCAGTAGCTCATGCTTATAATCCCAACTATTTGGGAGGTGGTAATAGGAGGGCCTCAGTTTGAGGCCATCCTAGGTAAAAAAGTTAGCGAGAACCTCTATCTAAAGAACAAGCTGGGCATGGTGGTTCAGGCCTGTAATCCCAGTTACTCTGGAGGTATAGGAAGGATTATGGTCTAAGACTGGCCCTGGGGAAAAAGTTCAAGACCCTATCTGGAAAATAACTAAAGCTAAAAGGGCTGAAGCTGTGGCTCAAGTGGTAAAGCACTTGCGAAGCAAGTGCAAAGCCCCGAGTTCAAAACTCCAGTACTACTAACTAAATAAAAAAATAAACCAGATACAAGAGAGATTTACAAATATATGTAAATCAGTGCCACTCTCTCTAAAATTTTATTTTGGAAAAATAGTTATTTTTCATAAAAACATGTTTTTATGGACTGGGGATGTAGCTCAGTGAAAGAGCACATGCTTAGTATGCATGAGGCCCTGGGTCCAACACGCAGTACCACACACAAAAAAAGTTTTATGTTCTAAGTGAGGTTAGTATTATTAAGTAGTATTATTTAAGTGAAAAATAAATAAAAATTGTTTAATTTCTGAGTTTAAAATTTTAATACACTAAATTTTAATAGATATAATCCACATAGAGCAAAGTTCTTTGAAAGGCCTTCAATAATTTTTAATAAGAGTGTACAAGGATATTGAGAGCACGAAGTTTGGGAACTTTCTGTATTTTACGCTAACCAACAGAATGAGGGAAGTATTAGAAAAAAGAGGCCTAAAAGAAGATATTAAAATTAATTTGCATATGATAAAATTACACCTAGAAACTTCAATAAGGGCAATAATATGTGGTTAAGATTTTTAAATGCTAATAAATCACATTTTTCCTATATACTTACTAGAAAATAACATGAAAAAAAGAATCTCCCTTACAGTAACTGCAGCTATAAAATATTCTCCCCTGGAAGTAAAACTAAAACAACTGTAAAAGACCTACACCTATAAAGACTTGTAAGTCCTTTACAGGAGTTATCAAAACTTTTCTTAGGGGTCTTAAAGTAGATGCCAATGAAGACAGTGCCATGTGATGCAAATCTTGAAAGAGTGAAATAATGTTAAGCCTTTCCAAATTTAATTTTTAACCTTAATGCTAATCCCAATGGGATTTTAAAAAACTTTTAAAGATACACCACACACACACACACACACACACACACACACACACCATTAAGGGTGATTTGGAAGACCTGCTTTGTAAAATAGAACATATAGTGGAAAGGGAAATAATCAAAACAGTGCAGAACTATAATCAGAACAAGAGAACATAGAGAATGTGGAAACAAATCCTAAAATATACACAAAAAGTTAGTATATCCATACCACAAGTCAGGGAGTAGAAAGAGAACTACTGAGTAAATGCTGCTGGGAATATTTCTTGACTAGCTGGAAAACTCTAATTTAGATAATCGCCTCATATCATATACCAAAATATGTAACAGATGGTTTAAACGTAAGAGAATAAACATGCCAACAGAAGAAAAAAAATAGATGAATACTTAAACTTATTTTGGGTATTATGAATCTAAAGCAATAAAAGAAAACAACGATGAAGGCTAACAGATTTGAGAGTGTAAAACTGCAAGCCTCATATATGTCAAAAACCAACACAAAGAAAAGTAAAAGGTGAGCAACAAGTAAGGAAAAATATCTGTAACAAAGATCAACATACTTAATTTACATTTTAAAAAATTAGCTGGTTGATTGAAAAAGGATCCTGTGCACAAGGCAAAAATGCAAACAAAAAACTGTTTAATGTGCAGAGGAAATTTTTTTCCCATCCTAGACCTGTAGGCCCTCAGGCCTCCTCCCCCATGGGGATTACTTTCTGTTATCTGTATCTTCTTCCAGAAATAAAATGAATACAAACTTGTGCACATATTTCACTTTATCCCCCTTTTAAATATCCATGAGAATTCCACTCATACTGTTCTATACTTTGAGTATTTGCTTATTTTGTTGTTCTATTTTTACTCAGTAATATAGCTTAGAAATTGTTACAAATCAAGTAAAGAATCTTCTCATTCATTTTCAATACTGTATTGGTTTCCATTGTCTAAAGATAACAGTTATTTAGAGTTCTTACAAGTCAATTAGAAAATAGATGAGCACCCTATTAGAAAAAAGTACAGGTAAAGTACTTAAAAAGGAATACGTACAATCAGCAAACTGCATGCGTGTATGCACATACAGTTCAATGTTATTAGCAAAGAAATTAAAAATAAAACTATTAGGTACACATTTTTCATCTTTTGAATTGGCAAATATTTTTAAAACCAGTAATTACTCAGCGCAGGCTACAACCAGGTACAGTGGTGCTGGAGACAGTGTGGCAATAATTTTACCTTTGACCATCTGCAGCAACTTATTCTCAGGGAATAATGAGAATTCTGCAAGCATTTACATATATACAATGCAGCATTCTTTACTAAAGTGAAAAATCAGGAAAAATCTGCTCTTCCCACCAATGGAAGAGGAATTAAATTGTGGTACATCCCAGGATAGATATCACATGACATAACCTTTATAGTAATGCTTTTGAAGTCTTGTTTAGTGACATAGGAAAGTATGCATGAAAAATTTTAATTAAAAGCAGCATAATACAAAACTGCAATGGAGAGTATGGATTTGATTGGGATGAGTAGTTAGATGGTGGAAAATGAACCAAAATGTTAACAATGATTAGTATTTATTGTAATTTTCTTTTTATTTATTTATTTTTTTTGCCATTTTCTAGATTTACTAGAAATACACATTTAGGTCAGGAAAAAGCATTAAACATTGTAAAAGGAGATTTCTGTATTCTTCAAAGATAACCAAATACACATACAGATACAATATCATGTACAGATACAAACTCACTCAGGCACTCCTGAGTGAGTTATTATCTGTGTAGAGCACTAGAAAAACACTAATATTATTCACACATCGTGGTGTCCTACTTTACAAGAGCCTATTTTGCTGTGCAAATTTATCTCAGTAGAGAAAATTGCATGTGCCCATATGTCCTGGTGCTGCAATCTCAACAATGAATTAAAGGACCAAATCTAGGTGCTTATATAACCTGGATAAAATTGTGAGTCCTTGTATGAGGAGACTCAATTATCTCTGTTACAAAGGGCCCTTATTTCTCTGCCGTTTGAGCGGCATCTATCAACGATGAATTCCTGTCGTTTTCAGATTCTCTTTATTCTCCCTAACAAAAACCAGCCCAGGGAAATGACAGTTGAGTTGCACAAAACCAGTGTTCAGACTTCCTGAGAAACTTGTCTTGAAATCAGAAGTCAAATTCCTGACCTACATCAACCTTAACAAACACATTCCCCTTCAGTAAACAGGCGAGCATTGATTGCGGGTACTTGAGGACAAAATCAAGACCTGAAGTCACTGTATTCTTTCCATGAGAGTACAACTACAGAGGTTTTATTTTCCATTTGGTATTTAGGAAAGGAAATCTGGGGCCTGCTTATCTTTCTAGCCTTATCTCGCAGGGCCTACTCCTCCCTTAAGACCACAGGCAGACCGGATTACCTGGTTCCCTGCACATGCTCCCCTTTCACCTCAGTGCCTTTTCGATATGCTCCTTAGCTTGCAACAGCCTCATCCTTAACTTGCACCCCTTCAAGGACCAGTTCAAACGCCTTGAGGAAACCTGCCTCCATCTTCTAACTGGAAAGCACCTTTCCTTCTTCAGAACTCCCACAGCATCTTGAATCTCTCCAGAAGACTTTCCAGAATCCCTTCATGATGCAGTGAGAAGACGCTGGTCACTACTGCAGACCCTTAGATTCACACCCCAGGTCCATTCCTAACTAGCTGGACCACCTTGGGCAAGTGACTTAGCCTCTAAGGCTTGGGCTTCTCATCTGTGAAGTACACCTTCCTCCCTGTTTTCAAGGATTAAATAAGAAAACTCACACGAAGTACCTAGCAATATATATTCAACAAATGATGGTTGCCTTCCATTTTTCCATTCTGCCGCATTAGTAATTTTGTGGTACTGCTACCACTCTCCCCACCCAACATACATAAACACATGCAGCACACACACAACTACAGGTTCTATGAAAGCAGAGCTGTGTGTTCATCTCGGTAGTCTTTTAGCACTGAATTCTATGACCAGTATGTATACAGGAGGCACTGAAAATTTTTATTGAAAAAATGAAAATGGTATGTTAAACACATCTAAAACATTAAAAGATATACATGTTGGCACCAGAAAACCAGATGGCTTTCTTAGTGAAATAAGAATTAATGATTAAAGTACCAGATAGCATTTGTCTGAGAGTAACTATCTAATTACAAATAGACACATCAAAGTCAGAATCCCTGTGAACACACCAGTAAATGCACAGGGCAGTACTTGAATCAAATGACCAATCTGTTACTTTCCCCATATCTTCAATTCTCATTACCTTCCAGCCTTTGAATCTCCTCAGCTGTCACTTCCAGTGTTTGATCAGATAGGAAGCAACTTGGATGACCTGATAGGAAAAGAATGAAATGTGTAGATGTGTGTATGTTTGTTTTTAAACAGAGGCAATTCTGTCTTTTACAAAAAAAAAAAAAAAAACAGGAAACACCAAACATCAAAGACCTCTTGTTTAAGAAACTGTCAGTGTCCCTGACTGCAGATAGGATTTCAGGCCCCTTCACTTTTAGTGTGGTAGTTATGCTGCAGATGACCATTCCAGAAGAAAAGATTAATTTTAAACGTTATACAACAAACTTAAAATACCAAAAGGATAATTTAGGACAAGAAACATACATAAGAGTTTAAAACTACATCTGTATATATTCTGGCCCCAGCATAGCGCATTGTTTTTTCAAAATGCAGTCTTGGCACAGAATGGCACTGGCAATTCTCCACATGAAGAGATAAATGTATTTATGAATACAGTGATTATGGTGTCTTATGCTTTAATTCATTGTACATTTTTTAAAGCACTTCTCACAACTTAGTTCATAAGGTCTAAATCCAATTTCAATCACACCGATGGAATTTTTTTTTTAAATTTTTTTGCAATACTGGGGCTTGAACTCAGGGCTTACACCTTGAGCCACTCCACCAGCCCTTTTTTTTTTTTTCCTTTTATTATTCATATGTACATACAAGTCTTGGGTCATTTCTCCCCCCTGCCCCCACCCCCAACCACCAGCCCTTTTTTGTGAAGGGTTTTTTGGAGATAGGTTCTTGAGAACTATTTGCCTGGGTTGGTTTTGAACCACGATCCTCCTGATCTCTGCCTCCTGAGTAGCTAAGATTACAGGCATGAGCCACCAACACTTAGCAACCTTTTCTGGGGGCCTGAAAAACACGTTGGCCATAATTTTCAAATGCAAGAAGAAAACGACTTGCCAAAAGTAACAACATAACTCTCAGTGGAACAATTTGGGAAAGAGATCAGTTATAGAATACAGAAAATCACCTGGTTTCCACAGAGAAAAACATGCAAACAATCCTGAATCCAGAATTCTAGATTCTAAATATTAAGTTATATATATAAAGTAAAATAAAACCTAGACCATAAATTTGATGAATTAAAAACAGAATGCACCTTTATTTACTTTACAAACTGTTATTCAAGAAATGAGAAAAATTTCACATCATCTTCATGTGAACAGAACACACCACATACCAACTCATGCTCTCACAGTGAAATGCAGAGACTCAGAAGCAACTCCCCTGCAAACAGTCCCGGGGGTTACATGTAGGGATACTCAGGTAAAGCAGCACAAATTGTTCTTTATTTCAACAGCAAGATCATTACACTTACCAGCTGGGCAAAAGTGGTAACTTTTAGTCTCTTGAAAAGTTCATCTTTTTTGTATCTATAATCTGAAAAGCAGGGTAAGACAGATATTTATCTAGGTTTATTATGCATTCTTAGAGCTACTGATTCTCTCTTGTCATCAAGTTATACGGTATATCTTTCAAGTCTCTAGTATGCTTATACATATATTATCTCATCTGATCTTCACACTATACTCAAAACTAGTTGGGCAGGTAGTATTATCAACTCTTCATTTTTCTGTTTTGCTCCGGCCATCCATCAGAAAGCATTTTTCCTTTACTCAGCTGTTTCTACCGTAGCCATACTGTGTGGGCACGCATTTATGTAAGCAGCTGCAAATCCTTTTCAGAACAAAGCTGGGGATAAACACCTATATTTTACAAATGAGGACAGAAACCCAGAGAAGCTAAGTTGCCCCAGGCCACACAGCTGGTAAGGAACACATTACCCTACTATTCTGACTCTGGCTTCTAAAGACAGCAATAACTTTCCTGTCGTTGCCAACTCTGCTAGAGACACAGGACATTACGTTGTGACTGGTCCTGATAATCTCTTATCAGTTTCTCCTAAAAAAAAAATCAACCTCTTCAGTTTTGCAAGACAAAAAGGTTCTGGAAATCCACTGAGAACAATGAGAATGTATTTAACACTACTAAAGTAACTGTACAGTCAAAAAATGGTTTGGACTGTAAATTTATGTTTTGTGTTTTTACCTTAACAGAAAATAAAATAAAATAAAAACCAACTTAATATTTATTCAGTGCTATCTTTATAGTTTTGAGACATAATTCAAATGGGGATACTTCTACACTTGTGTAAATAATCCTTCCTATCACATTAAATAGTTAATAAAAACTGAGTCAATATCACTTTATCTAGTATCTGCCCTACAGATACATGTTAGAAGTTAGATTCTTTAAACTTCTCCAAAGATGATTACTAATTTTAAAGAGTTTTTAATGTTGTACTCTGCACGTCCTTCCCCTTCCCCTCCTCCTCTGCTGGGTTTTTATACTGGTGCCCAGGACTCCTTAAATACTGCTTTATTAATTCAGAATTACTAAAAGTTTTCTGGATATTTGCTATGGCCTTCGCAGCATAAATATCTCATAAATCAAGACTCCTGGCAGCAAAGGAAAGGATTAAATGTATTTAAGATTATTTACCTGGTGTTACTAATTAGTTCCATGAATTCTCCAAAAACCCAGCACAGACCAGATGGTTACTCTGGAGGGTAATACAAGCTTGGTTTACCAAACAGCCTAACATTGAGAATCAGGAAATGATGCTACCTCAAAAACTAGCCTTCTATAAATATGTCATGACTCTTTCTTGTAGGGAATTAAAACTTTTTTGTTCTAAAATATCTTGAAGAGAAATTTGGGAAACAGACTATTACTTCTAGAAAATTCTTAAAGGAGCTTCTTGTAGATACAAGGTAGCAAACCTAGAGGCCACAGAGCTGCCAGGATGTGGATCCAAACAGACTCAGCAGAGCCTCCAAGAAGTACAGCATTCCCCTTCAATTACCAACTTGCCCACCAAAAGTCGCTTATATAAATCAAAACAGCAATAAACCAACCCAAGGAAACAATCAATAGCTTTCAAGTAGTTTGTATTTTGACATTTATCCATTGATAATTTTTTGGTATGTTTACATAGTTTGAAATTCTTGTATAAGTTAAAATGTACACATTAAAATCCCCTCTAACTAAACACAGATTGCACTAAACAAACACCAGTCTTGGCTATCTCCTATAGACTGGCATTCCAAGTGTCCTCTGCACCAGTCCTTGGAGCTCCCTGACACTGGAGCCTGAATGCTACATACCTGGTTCTGGTTTGGAAGGACAGCCATCGGTAGGACTTTCTGACATTATTACTCAGATCTAAAAGATCAAACTAGACGTCTTATTGCAAGTTTTAAATTTTATAAAAAGGATGACTTGGGAGGCTCTGTCAGTCTGTCCTCCCAAGAGTGAACACAGCTTTAAGAATGGCGCTTCTGCTAGTAGGGCTTCTCTCAGTCTGTGTAGGGACAGATAATCCCAGTCAGGCACACTATCAAGGTCTGCTTCACCAGTAAGCACAGGCTCTGAGCTGGCCTCTCTCGAGTTACTGGAGGGACAGAGACCTGACTATCTAGGATGTTTCATACTGGGTCCAACTAGTGTCATTTAACCACTAGGCACCAAGAATAGGCTTTGTGCATGGTCAATAGACACAGAGCATCTCTTTTCCCCAGGTATAGTTGAAAGAATGTTCAGATTACAAAGGATTTCTGCATTTTGTTAAAATGTGTTATTAGCAAAGAAAAGGAAGCTGGACTTACAGTGGAAGACAAATCAAAGGAAGGAACAGAACAAGGTTTGTGATTTCACAGACAGACGTGGCATCTGAGGTAAAGCGAGCAAAGAGATAAGTCCAGAGTGTCAAGAAACAAGGCAATGTTCCCTTCCATTTTGACCCAAGAGAACACTTACAACAGAAAACAGGGAAAGAGAAAGAAATGGCTTCCAAAACACAGATGCCAAACCAGAATCCAAAGTAATTCTGTGGAAATGAGCACAAAGCATGTGATCAAGGTGAGAGTAGCTGCCGCCTTACTAAATGGAAGCCTACAACTTCTAAAGAAGGAAGGGAGTGAGCATTTTCAAGGACTCTAAAACAACAGTATTTCTCTTGGGAGATAATTTCCATTTAAGAAACCACACGGTACTTTTAAGAAACATTTTAAGTAGGTTTCGCCAATCTGGCTGGAACAGGACATTTCTATGGGACAAATTTCTGGTGAACTCACACTCAGTGACAAACGAAGGGCATCGAAAGAGACCACAAACTCAAATAGAAGGAGGCTGACTGGATGCTGCCTGCCTTAGATGAATCAAGATGACAACAATGAAAGGTAGGTGAATAAACAAAATTTGTTCATAATTTAGAAATTTAATACATTTCTTATATACTTAAGATTAAATAGGCTTATATAACAATGTGAAATGTGTAAGAGGAGGATCCTGTGACATACATTTTTACAGTGTCCACAGCCTTAGCTCTTAAACCTGAGCATGACACGAAGACAGCAGAGAGCTGCTCCCGAGTCCATACCTACTGTCTGGGGTTTCCCCACACTGCAGCAATTCGAGAGGAACATTATCATTTTAAATTAAAAGGTCTGCTGTATAAAAAAAAAAGTCTGATGTACTCTACATTTATAATTTTCTCTCCCAAGAAAATGTGTATTACCAGAGCGAAGTCCTGAACTGGGATCAGAATGCCTCTACATTAGCTAAACACTGCCCAAGCACTAGGTTCTCCTACTTGAGACATGAGCAAATCCATCTCAGAAAAAAAAAAAAAAAAGTTGTTTCTACTTTTTTAACTCTGGCTTCTCTGTGTACATTTTATATTAGTTTTGGACACAGATTGAGAATTATGATTTCGTGTAAGGGCTAAGTACTCAGTGACCAGTAAGATATCTCTGCAGAAGATTAGCTTTAAAAAAGGAAGTACATGAAATGTGACTTTTAATTAAAAGAAAACAGGCTGCAATGAGTGGAAAATATAAAACACTAAGAACAACCTCTTTCTCAGACCTCTTAGTCTTTTATGAATACTGTCTAATTTATACTCCCAAGAATTTTATGAAGAAAGGTATTATTACCCTATCTCAGGTAAAGACCAAATAATAAGAGAGGGAAGATTAAGTACCTGAAAAAGGCCATGAAGACTGCAGCACAACGTAACTAGAAGCTCGTGTTCTGATTGCTTCAGCAGAGCTCACTCCACATTCCAACATTAATAATCCCTACGGGATGTAAGTAAGGCTAGTCTTAGGAGCTGGCCAAGAGGGGGCCCAGTGTCTCCCACATTCTTCCAGGTACCTGCCAGGCTCACCTGACTCCCACAGTTCTCCACACATGTCAGCTGTAGAATATGGTGGTTAGTTGGTAACCAGCTTTACAGACTACTACAGTGTTCCATTTTCCCAAGTCGTCAATAGTGTTACTCACTTTTTTTGATCTCTTCTAGCTTCTCAGTGTATTTTGTCATACTGTTACCTGAAAAGAAAATAAGAATTTAAAAAACACTTTAAATGGAAGAAAGTGAGTACTATTATGAAAAGAGAATGAAGATCAAGCACTCCCCAAGCTTCCCTATCCTGTTCTTATGAAATGTTGGACAGTAGGCAAGTGGGCCACACATAGCAAATAGTCTTTTGGAGAACAAAGAATCATTCAAAGATATGAAACCAAGGGAAATGTTTGGTCAAATGTGTGTAAGCTGGAATATAGCCCTGTAAAGCAATAAGATGATCACTTGTAGCCATTTTAATTTTTTTCTTTCTGAGTCAAGGCTCTCCTCCTCCTTTTTTCTCTCCCCACAACCTTTTGTGGGAGAGATTAAAAAGTAGGAGAAAGAAGTAATATTCTTTGAATGTTTAAAATGAGCCTTTGTGGCCACCCAAGCAACCCCTTCCTCTGTACTTTGTTGTGATCTCCTCCTCTTTTTTGAACTTGGTATTACACTACTCATGCTGAGCTTGTGGCCTGGTCTAGACCACACAGTCCGGATGCCCATATTCCCCATGGGCTTGATTTGCTGAGAAATAGCAGCAGATCCTCACTGCTGTGGAGAGGACCCGGCCCTCATGTTTTATGGTCTGGTTCTACAATACGAGGCTCTAGCCAAGGTGGTTTGGAGAGTTTTCATACTTTAAGATTGGTCCAGGATCATTCTGGTTTCTGAATGAATTAAATTCTAGCTCTCAAGCCAGGGACTATTATATTTTACTGGGCATGCTGTGATTTGATTCAATTGAACACAGCAAGCTCTATCTGGTACCTAAAAGTTTGGCAAAAGGAAAGCATTCAAAATAACTTCTCATTTCTAAAACTGTACTTCTAACTTAAGTCTTGAGAACATCTAGTTAGATTCAAAGAAATGATTCTAACTGATGACATAAAATGATATCTAAAAGGACTATTCTGAACTTTCTGCAGGTTTGGATCAACAGCAGAAAAAAAAGAAAATTCTTGCTCTGAAACCCAAAATACATTTTCAAAAAACAACTTAAGTTATTAGATTTTTACCATGAATTCATCATGGAATAAAAATCCACTGTTTGGGGTTTTTTGTTTTGTTTTGTTTTTATTCGTTTTAGGACAAACACTCTGCATCAGAACTAGGCAGGAGGATTCAATATAGTCCTAGACCCAGACTGTGTATGTCAGCAACTTAGAAAGGTTCAGTCAGTCAGAGCTACTCAGGCCTGAGGCCTTCTCAAGAGATACAGAGTATGTCTCAGAAGAGACTCTGAACAGGATTAAAACCAAATGTGATCTCCTCCAGATTCTTCAGACTACAGTTAATCTAAGAAGTAACCAGAACTTCAGAGAAAAAAACCATGAATTCTACCTGGACATACATCCCTTTTCCCCAAGGTAACTCTGCCGCCATGAATGGACTTGCCTGGTTACTACAGTGAGGGAGGAAGACGGCAAAGTCGGTATGCTATCCAGCATCCTACATCTTATTCTTCAAAAACCTGACAGAATAGCTTTTGGTTATAGGCCCCAGATTTCCCCCACAGTTGCATGTTGTTGATATGGTAGTTAATTTCTTTTGGTCAGGGGAGTTTTAGGCAGTCTAGTCAGAAAACTGAGAAACAAAAAGGCTTATTGATTTGTCCAGTGACACAGCAAGTTAGTAACTTAACTAGAATTAGCATTCCCAACCTCCTGGCTTCTAATATGGTTCATAAAAACTTGGCTCTTCTAGTTATTATTATTCTTGTTGTTATTCGTACTGCTGGATTTTGAACCCTAGGTCTTATGCATGCTAGGCAAATGCTCTACCCTGAGCTACATCCACAGCCCTTGTGTTGTTTTAAAAGCATGATTCATTGTGTTGAATGAATCTGCAGGTAAATTTGTAGGAAGTGCTATTTCCTTAATCGCAAGAGGTGAGGACCATCTGATGCTATAAATTCCCTGAGGAATTAAAAATAACAGCCAACCTCATTTACATCATCTTTATTATTAAATATTGCATTTCCAATTGATAGCATTTCTACTAACAAAGTATCTAAAATTCGTTTAATTATCAACATATTCGGTGTGTTTGCACAGCACTTCATCTTGTGTGAGGAAACCCTCACGAGGATGCTCTGGAGTAAGCAACCATCCATACCATTTATTTTCTCTACTAAAGGAGGGGCAGAGAGACAAATCTTTTGTAGAGTTATGCAAATATTTGACAAAACTATGAACAAATCTAAAAGGGCTATTAATAAGAATGTTCACTGTAGACATCCATTCCATCCAAGTGTGGGGAGAGAAGAGAAAGAGGATTTCTACGTTGCTTCAACTGGAGAAATGAGACAGTACCATGAATGACACAAAACTAGCACAGAATCCCTAAAAATGAATTTAGGAAGTATGAAAAGAGGAATTTTATCTTACTTTATACACATTTAGGTAAATTAAGTGCTTTACCTTACTGTGTCTAATTGCATCAGAAAATGATTTCTGACTACCTTTTGAAAAGATTGGAAATGAATCAACTTCATAATTCACTTATTTATAAACATGCCTTTTATACAAATGGAACCTTAAAAATAGCAGACAATTTTTTTAAATTTGAAATTACACATTACTGCCAAATTTTCCCAGATAAGAATGATTAAAAAGGAAAAAAAAAAATCAGTGTTTCTTTGTTGCTCACTACCTAGTTTAAATTCCTTGCTTTAGTACTGAAGATGGTTACAACCTAACTGCCTCTTCAATGTTACCTTAATTATTAAACTTGACAAGCTCTCTGTGAGTCTTTGGTTCTCTAACATACCACTTTATTAAGCTCACCCAGCAGGAAGTGACTTTCCCTTCTCTGAACTCCTACTGCACTCAGCTTGCCACTCACAAGGCATTTATCACTGGACTGGACTGTCTTATCTACCTTCCTTGATAGAAAGCCCAAGATTATTTATCTGTGCACATACATGTATGAACACACACTCACAATCTTTAAGCCTCCTGATGTCTCATGGTGCGGACACTAAAATATATTTGCTTAATGAAATCTACTAAGAGGGCCTACTGTTTCAAAAATCCTATAGTTACTTACTTTATAATATAAATAGTCACCCCCCAATTTGGCTTGAATTTTTGCACTTGATTTTCTTTAAAATACACACAACTTGATTTACATAAAATTATGTTATAGACTACCCATACCACCCATACGGACTCAGACAAACTAGAAAGGTGTAAGGTGGTATTTAGCTTCCACTTTGTTTACAACTTAAGTTGCAATGAAAGGTAATAAAAAGTTTTACAATTAGGATCAAAAGAAAAGAACAGCTCACCCATATCAATAGTCCTGTGCAAAAATAGAGTACAATTGATTAACTCAGTGACTCATTCATTAGATTTTTTTTCCATTATGTTCCTATATTTCTACTGAGCCCATAAGAAAAGCAAGTGCTTCTGAACAGCAGTAATCTAGAGCGGGTAAGATTTATAACATATGAACTCAGTTGCTAAGAGACAACGCCGTGGTTTTATTTTTTCTTCAATATTTCCCTTCTCTATGGAGAAATCCTTTTGGCTCAGAAGGAGCAGAAAGATTGAAAAGAGGCACAGTGGTCCTCTGTTAACTTCAAAAAATCACAGGTGTATTTAGTGACTTCTGGTTTGTAAAGCCTTTCACATACACTTCTTCTTTTGACGTAAGAGACAGAATTAAATGCCAAATAAAAATGAAGAGCACCTAGTCTGTGATGAGTTTGGGTGCTTAAGAACAAGGCTTTAGCAAATATTCAGGAAAGGTAAAGACCAAAGAAGAAAAATGGAAATGACTAGCATGTGCAGAGAAAATGAAAGGAAAGTGAATATTACAAAAATTAAAATAAGATAGAAAAGACTATGGAGAAAGTCTACTAAATTTGGAAAGCTAAAGAAATGTGCAATTAGATTGAATGTAGATTGAAGTGAGAGGATAATGCAGCCAACAAAAGAGAGGAAGGGACTAAGGAAGGGAGAGCCCTGTAGTTTGCAGTGTCCCTTAATAAGCCTGTAAAGCTGCAGAGCAATACCCCAAGAATGCACAATAACACTGCAGTGGTGACTGACCAAAATGCCTGCAGGGATGTCACCAGAAGCATAACACACTCATGGCACAGTCTGGCAATGCTGGGTAGCTGGTAAGATATACTCAGGCACCTATGGAACAAAAGAAATATTGGAAATTCAAAATAATTCTGAGACTTCTAGTCATAACTGTACCTAAGTGCTTGGGATTCTATGAGAAGTAGAAGCAGATATATAGAAACAAAAAATAATCTTTACCCAGGAGGATGGGTGTCAGACTTTGAAGAATTCAGTAGAAGGAGATTTGGGTGAAGATGGGAGACCACGAAGGTCTTGATTTCTTGTGCTTAAGTCTGAATTGCTCAGAGAAAGATTTGTTTGGTAAGAAAAGATTAATGACCCATCGACTTAGACTGGAAATGGGAAATGCTCCTCGTTTCTGCGCCTATTTCTACCTCTCTCTGCACAACTTAAAACATCCTCCAGATAACTCCTCACTGTTACTTGGGTTCTAAGGCCCCTCTTGTGTTTTCTTAACCAAGACTACTTCTGGCATATGTGGCAATGATAACATTTGTACAAAACACTGGGTTTGGGCTACCACAGGCCCTGTTGGCCCCCAAAGACTGATGGGCTTCTGTATCTAAGCACATAAATCACAGGTACTGCACACCAGGTAAAAACTTTTCTGAACACACTGGAAGGTAAGTCACAAAAATGCATGGAAATGCAAACATTAAAATAAGATCCCTTTCCTAGGATGACTTTAAAATAATTTCTAAATTTGAAACACACACACAAAAATCAAACACTAGAATAAGATTTCTCTTCCACTGACTTTAAAATACTTTGAGCTTTAAGCAATGAGGCACACTTTCGTCCTTCCTAAAGCTATTATAAAACTAGTCTGGGAGACTCGTGCTTCCAGGAAAGATGGGTGGACGTATTTTTCTCTACTCATCCAGCTATGTACAACAAAAACCCTGGACAACCTGCCAAATGAGAGAAAATACTCCCAAATCAGATTTCTGATAAGAGCCTATTATCCATGATAAATAACTCTTATAATAATAAGAAAAACAGCCCAATTTAAAAATGGGCAAATGATCTGAATAGACATTTTCCATAGGAGATATGCAAATAAAAAGGTGCTCAACATTATTAGTCATTAGACTAGTTGTGTTCCTGTAATTTAATAGCATTATTATTAATGTAAATTAAACCCATAATGAGATACTATTTCATGCCCACACTGATGGCTATAATCAGAACGACAGACAATAGCAACCATTAGTGAAGATGTAGAAAAAGTAGAGCCCTCCTACATTGCTGGTGGGAATGTAAAATGGTGTGACTGTTTTTGAAAACAGTTTGGCAGTTCCTCAAAAAATTAAACATGGAGTACCCTATGACCAGCAATTCAACTCCTTGGTACATACCCAAGAGAACTAAAAACACATGTTCGCATAAAAAATCTGTATACACTAATGCTCTTAGGAGGTACTATGGCCAGAAAGTGTAAATAATCCAAATGTCCATCAACTGATGAGCAGATAAACAAAATATGGACTAGCTAAACAACAGAATATTATTTGGCAATAAAAAGGAATGAAGTATTGACACATGCTACAATACAGATGAACCTTGAAAACATACTAAATAAAAGAAGACAGACACAAAAGGCCAAATGTCATATGATCCTACTTATATGAATGTTCAGAACAAGCAAATCCACAGAGACAGAAAGTATATTAACAGTTCTCAATGTACTTAAGGTATCAATTCCAGATTCATAAACAACTCCTATCAAAATCATAGCAATTTTACTAATGTTATTTAAGTAAGAGTATTCTAAAATTTATATGGAAAAAAAGGATTTAGAAAACCTCAAGTAATTTTGTAAAGAAAAATTAAAGTGAGAATAATCATTTTAAGTGTCCAAATTACTATACAGCTACAGTAATCAAGATTGCATGGTATTGGCAAAAGCACAGATGCATAGATCTATGGAACAGAATAGAGACCCAGAAATAGGCTTACATATGTATGTCCAACTACTGGCAAAAATGAACATGCAATTCAGTGGAGGAAAAGTAACCTTTTAAATAAGTGGTGCTAGAATGATTGCACTCCCTTATACAAAAAAGTTAATCTTGATCTAAGCCACACACCTTATATAAAAATACCTCAAAATGTATCATGGACTTACATGTGAAACCTAAAACGTTGAAGATTTTAGAAAAAAAAGTCATGTCAGAAAAAAATCATTGGGATATAGGGTAGGCAAAGAGTTCTTAAAGTTGACAACAGTATCATGATCCATAAAAAGAAACATGTAATAAAAAACTTTAATTCTCCAAAAGACCCCATTAGGCAGATGAAAAGACAAGTTACAGATTGGGAAAAATAAAAATACTTGGGAACCACATATCTCACAAAGCACTAGTAGCTAGAATATGTAACAAACTTTTAAAATTCAACAGTAGCTGGGCGCCGGTGACTCACAATCAAAATCCTAGCTACTTGGGAGGCTGAAATCAGGAAGACTGAGGTTCAAGACCAGTCCAGGAAAATAGTTCCAGAGACCCCCGTCTCCAAAATAATCAGAGCAAAATGGACTGGAGGTGTGGCTCAAGCAGTAGGGTGCCTGCTTTGCAAATACAGAGCCCTGAGTACAAGCCCCAGTCTCACCAAAAAACGCAACAGCAAAAAGAAAAACAATCCAATTATAATAGGCAAAACTATGAATGGACATAACCCCAAAGAAAACATTGAAAGATGTTCATCATTAGCCATTAGGGAAATGTAAAACTGCAGTGATCTATCACCATATACCTATCAGAATGACTAAAATTTAAAAATGGTGACACCAAATGCAGGTGAAGGTGTGGAGAAAATGGATCAGTCATCGATTGCTGGTGGGAAAGTACAATGGCACAGTGACTCTGGCAAACAATTTGGCAGTTTCTTTAAAAACTATGTAACTAAACTACCATATGAAGCAGCAATTACACTCTTGGGCATTTAGTCCAGAGAAATGAAGACCACACTCACACAAAAATCTGTACATAAATGTTTATAACAATTATATTTGTAACAGCCCCAAAGTAGAAACAACACAGATCTCCTTCAACAGGTAAATGGGTAGCTACAGTACAGCCATACCATGGAATATTAGCCAGTAATAGAAAGGAACAAACTACTGACACATGTAACAACCTGGGTGAGTTTCCAGAGAATTATGGCTTAATTAAAAATGCCAATCCAAGTTGGGGATGTAGCTCAGTGGTAGAGTGCTTGCATAGTATGCGCAAGGCTCTGGGTTTCATTCCCAGCACCAAAAAAAAAAAAAAACCTCAACAACAAAAATTAGCCAATCCAAAATGCTGTATAATATGATACCATGTAGGCAGCATTTGCACAATGACAAAAAATGATAGAAATGGAGAACACATTAGTAGTTTCTGGGGATTAAAGAGAAGTTGGGAGTAGAAAGTGGACATGGCTATAAATGACAAGAAAGACATCTTTGTGGTGACAGAAATGCTCTGTACCTTGTCTGTACATATCTATGTTGATGTCATGGATGTGATGACGGGATGGTATAGTTTTATAAGAGTATGTGGAATTTCCTTGTATTGTTTCTTATGAAATGCATGTGAATTTACAATTAACCCAAAAAAAGTTTAACAAGAAAAGTAGTTAAAAACTCTCAGGATATAAAAGGATACATTCATATGTATTATAAAAAGCACATAGAAGTATCTCAACATTAAAAAACTGCAATTAATTTCAAGTACCATTATGGAGTCAAATTTTGGTAATGAATTGAGTAATCTGATTTCTAGGAGAAATAACATTATAAAGGCATAGATAATTCTAGATATCTGAAATAAACCTCAGCTCTTAAATTATTTTTTTCTTCTTTTGCAGTGTTGGAATCAAACCGAGGGCCTCACACATAGTAGGCAATCACTCTACCACTGAGTTATATCTCCAGCAATTTAAAAGATTTAAAATGTAATTTTAAGGAGGAATCAAGGTTTCAAAAGAAAATCATTCTTTTATAGTAGACTTTACAATTGTATCTAGACTGCTCAGGGAAAAAACATGATGCTGTGCTTACTTCACAGAATCACTTATTTTAGAAGTTGAAATTAAGGGGGAGCTGGATATAAATGGAGGAGTTGATGATAACTGTGACAGAGGAAACAAAGCTGGGGATATATAGGGCAGTATAGTGTAAAAGACAGTACACTAGAAGTGGTTCCAGAATTAACTCCCTCACCCTGCAAACAATCCTATTTTTACCTCCTTTAGTGAACGTCAAGTAAATCATAAAATCTCCTGGCCACAGTTTTCTTTTCCTTTAAAATAGGAATAATATTTTCACCTGCTCATCAAACAGGATATCTGTAAGAATAAGTATCTGTATGGCATGGAAATGTTTGAAAGAAGAATAATAAGAAGCAGTCTTTACAAACGTGCTGCATTCAGAACAGTTAGGCATAACGGAAGACAATGATTTCAAGGAGAGTGGAGACAGAAAGACAAAATAAACAAGATGATTTAAACAAAGGCAGCCCCCCCTCCCGCTCTGCCCCCACCCCACCTTTACTTTCCTCAATTATCTTGAGGTACTGGTGGAAAATTTAGTATTGCAAGGCAGACAGTCTCTCAATCCAGTAATAAAGCCATCTCAATCAGGTGGATTTTTCCACCGCAGGCTTTAAAAAGGCTGAAAAAATAAATAAACTCAAACCTCACAAGACAGCAAATCCACTAGGATCTGGGCAGCTGTCCTTATCACGACACTGAGAGATGTGAATGGCATGGATATTAGCAGGAAGGCACTCTTAAAACTGGTTTCACCTACCTGAAATACTCACTAAATTTTGTCTGTTTAGTTACTCATTCAAGTTGGTCTGCCTCCATCTGAATCTAAGCTCTTTGATTGCAAAGAGCACCATCCACACTCATCTATCTACCACAGTCCATCACCTCACATGTAGTCAGCACTCTGCAAATACTGAATTGAACAAACATGCACATGTATGATCCATGGCTGTCAGTTTAAAGGAATATATTTAAGGTGCTCCAAAATGGAGGAGAACCTCATGATACTTATTTAGCATCACCTCTGTACTTACTGAATTTATTGGCTTCAATTTCTGGGATTACTTTTTCTTATTATTTCTTATGTGGTAAGGAAAAATAACCAAAAATTATGTAAATGTAAATTTTTCTGATAAAATTTGAAAAACAGCTTTCAAAGATGAATTTGAGCCCAAGATATCAGGCAAGAGAATGAGAAACTTGTAGTTATGATTTACACTAGGGTAGACAGACTCCTTTCTGTCAACACTTAACTACAAGTTCTAATTTTCTAATCTTTACTCACCAGTGTCCAGTCTTGACTTGACATGCTGATACCTTGGGTTTTGTGGTATCCTTTTGGTCAGATACTACAAAACAAGAAAATTCACAGTTAAGTGCACTAATGTAAGACAAGAGTAGCAGAGTCAGGAAAGAATCATATATTTTAAAAATGGAACAAATGCCAAAATATCAGACTTTGAAGATGGAAGGAGATCTGGAGATCCAACTGTCACTTACACATAGGACTCTTACTAAGGCATTTCCTTAGGTGAAGATAGTTATTTTGTTTCTCTCAAAACATGTCCACTTTTTGTCAAAATAATCTGAGAGCACTATGTGAAAAAAGCTCTTAAAAATTATTTTTTTTATTATAAAACTTTTATTAGTATGTATTCGTTATACAGGGGGGATTTGAAGTGAAAATTCCAACCAGACTTATATTGTACATTATTCACATTTCCCCCATTGTCTCTCTCCCTCAGCCCCCTTCCCACACCACCCAAAGCAACTGCAAGAGGTTTTTTAGTTCTGTTTCATATAGGTACATGAAGTCCGTCAACCATATACCGTCACCTTAATCTCCTTCCTTCACCCTCTCCTCTCCCACTAGTAGCCCCCCTTATCCCCGACATACACTGTGCCTATTTTATAGTCCTGATTTTCATTATTAGAAAATTATTTCTTACAATAAGCTAAAATTGGTCTGCCTCCAATTTGCTTTCAGTCTACCATTGCAACTCAGAATAAGCTACCCACTTCTGCCTCAAGAAATTCATTAAAGTAACAAAAGGCAGCTATCCTGTCCCTCTTTTTAATGTCCTCTTTAGTATGACTGCTTCTGGGCCATCTCCTCTGGGCACCTCTGGATTTCATCTACAGCTCCTCTAAAATATGGCAGGCGGGATCCAGATGCTCCAGTTGTTGTTGGGCCAAGGCCTACTTGAGCAGGCTCTCGCCCTGGGGCACAAGACTGGGGCTCCACAGACACCACTGTCATAGCATCTGCTCTTGTGGCAGCTAAGACTCAGGGTAAGTTTATGGCTGGTAAAAATGCTTAAGTGAGGTCTGCCTTGTGCTGTGCTCTGCTAGTTACTTCATGGAATCCAAGCACAAGACATTAGCCTACAGTAAATTCCTGTGGTGTGGGCGAAGGTCATAAAGGCATTACAAAATACAGCTTTTTTGCTTAGGTCTTTTTGTGGCCTGCAAGTACAGTACAGGTGTGGAATATGAAATTAGGACTGGATAATAGCTTGCCACTTCTGTAAGTGTTCCCATGTTGAAGTGGTGGGAATGGTCCCTAAGTCTCCAGTCTTGGCAGGTGACTACTATATAGGCTTTTCTTTACCTTGTTTTTGGGCAAAATTTATTTCCTCTGCAAAGCTGTCCAAGTAGGAATTAAGCACTTCTCCCCCTTGGCTCCGAGAGTATGGACACCCTGTCCTGTTGTCTACAAGTAGTTGTTCTTTCCTAGTCTAGAATTTTCTTGAGGGCAGGGACAGCTTACTCATATGTGTAAGTCACCCCAGATCTTGTACATAAGTACATTTAATATTCAGCTCATAAATGATTATCTGAAGAAGGATTGTATTAAAGCAATTATCCAGTTCCTTAACATGCAAACTTATAAAAAAATTTTTATCACTTGCCTTTGAAAACAGTTAATTACAGCCTGCCAGGTTGAAAGGATTGAAAAATAAAACATATATTGAAATACCTTTTCAAATGGCCCAGAAAGCATAGAAATAGCCTACATACTTCTGTGTCTAAAACTTCTGGCTGAAGTTTTGCATTTCAGCAACCAGAAAGAATTTTTAAACACTGGGGGCACCTACAGAAAGTTATCAACTTTTAATTTTGCCAAGGACAGACATAGAAAAAACAACAACAAAGCAAAAACCTCAACTACCATCTGCTGCTTTTTTTTTAGTTCAGGATGAAGTCTATTATTTTTAAAGTAAATTAAATTTACTTTTTCCCTGATATTTAAAACATAAACCATCTGCTTTATTCATTTATTCATTCGTTCATTCATTTATGGCAGTCCAGGGGATCAACGAAGGGCCTCACACTTGCTAGGCAAGCCCTGTACCACTGAGCTATGCCCTCAGCCCTGCCATCTGTTATCTTAATATTTAAAAGGTTAAAAAGAAAAAAAAAAATCTGAGCATGAAAAGGTCAGTTCTATAGTGTTATTAAAAACTGATGACATTGTCTGGGTTTTTTACTTCACACCAGGCAAGTAAAACCTTATTAGGGCCACTTAGCATTGGCCCCCTGATTGTGTCTGCAAGCACTGAGCTGTTTTTATACTTAGAAAAAGATTGGAAAATCAGTAATCTGCTGTCTATAAGAAAGCGACTATAACATCAATTCCCATTCCTTCCCTAGAAGATGGAGAAGATTCTTAAGTATGAGAAGAAAAATAGACAAAGACTGAAAAGGAAGACTTTAATACAAGTTCCCAGTGGAAGACAGTATCACGGCAAAATGAGACAAACAGTAAACTGAGTCAAAGAGAACACATACTAGATTTCAGCTCTCTTAAGCTAAGAGATTTTTTTTGTCTTTGGCGCTCTGTATTTCTATCATTTCTATATCCTGTTTCCTGTTTTTGCTTTTGTTTTTCCCACTAGTTTCCTAGCAAAGCTTCTTTTTGAAAAATTCCAGGACAGTCTCTGCTGAACCAAGGGGATTTGTCCATACCTAAGCCAAAATAGCTAAGAAGTGAGGGTGTCTCGGGAGACCAGGTGTGGTGGCAGCAAAATGATGAGAGAGAGTGTGGACAGCTGCAGCCACTGAGCCCTTCCCGCCCCCGGTTTTCCCTTACATGGACTAATGAGAAATCCATATGCTACAGGAGAAAAATGTAGTGTTTCTTTTACACGGTCCCATTTCAGTCCAATTTCTTATTCCTGACTTTCTAGGACCAACCACAATGTGAAGCATTTGTGCCCCACTGCCAGCAGAGCACCAAAGGTTTGATGAAGGGCCACGCTTTCCTCTTTAAAATTCTTGCTTTTGGGGTGATTGCTTCTTGACCTACTGACCAAGTGGCTTTCTTTCAATGACATAAACAGACGGGAATGGTGAAAGTGAAAGAGCTATGGAAAGCAGCTGTTTGAAGGAAGACTATTCATTTGTTCCACAAAGACTTATTGAGCACAGGCATTCATTCAGCTAACATTTATTACTGAAGGCCTACCAGGCATGATCCCACTGACTGCTGGATATGCAGATGCCAGGCTGTGTGATGGAAGGAGAGGGAAGTAAGGGTGTGACAGGAGCACATAAAATGGGCACTTCAGACAGAGGGTCAAAAACTGTTTGCTGAGCTGAATTCTGAGGGCCAAGGAGATTAGTCAAGCGAAAGGAGTAGTGGGTGGGTGATACAGGGACTGGCAGAGAGAAAAGCATGGGCAAAGCATAGAGACTAGAGAAAGTATAGACAGACAGCTCCAAGAAATCTAACAGTAACTGAGACATGGAGCACAGAGAGCAGTAAGGGGATGAATGATGCTGGAGAGGCAGGCAGAGGCAGATCACAAGGTACCTTGTATACCTATCGAGACACTTGCATTTTCTTCTAATCAGTGGATCTCAGGCAGTTGCAGCTTTGCCACCATTATGTCCAGGGATATTTGTTAATTCAGATTGGGTAGTGGGGGTGCTACTAGCATCATGTGGATAGAGGATAAGGGTGCTAGTGAATATCTTACAAGGATAGGACAGTCCCACAACAAAGAAATAGCCAGCCCAAATATCAATAGTACAGCAGATGAGAAACCTAGAGATGATAGGGATTCACTGAAGGTTTGGGGAGTAGTGATGAAATTATATTTCCATTTTAGGATGATCATTCTGGCAGCAATATGGATATATGATTATAATCAAGAAGGGAGGTATAAAAATCAGTTGCTAGGCTATTGTACTAAGAGGATCTATAGTCCTAAGAAAGTGGCAGTAGAGCTACTCCTTGTAGTTGCCCTGTATGTAGAAATGTAGATACTATTTCTCCTCTCCCTCTCCCTCTCCCTCTCCCTCAGGAACTGCTGTAAAGAGTGGGACAGTGGCACCATGCTCTCCCTCCCCTCCCCTCAAAAAGAGAGTTAAAAGGAAACATATGAAAAACACAAGTTTGCAGTTTGGGGCATGTCAAGTATGAGATAGGCCAAGTAGGTTATCCAAAATGAAAGTGCCTGGCTGGCTATATGTGGAGTTCAGGAGAGATCTCAGCTAGAAAAAAAGAAGAAAGGAGGAGAAGGAAGGAAGACAGAGGAGAAAGGAGAAGGAGAAGGAGAAAGAAGGAGGAGGAAGAAGAGAAAATGGTGATGATTTGAGGGTTACCAGCATATAGACAGCAGATGAAGCTGGTAAGGGAATGGCCAAAACACTCCAGGAAAGAGTGTAGACTGAGAAGAAAAACCCTGGCATTGAAGGTCAGGTGGAGAAGAGACACTTTGGCTGAGACTCAGAAGAGTCGGTAAGAAAGTAGGTCATGAAGGTTACAGAAAAGCTGCAGGAAGAAAGGAGTGGTCAATAGGGAAGGATGCTGTCAACTATGAACGGGAGAACAAGAATGCAAGTCGAGTAAGAGAACAGAAGAGTGAATAAGATTTAGCAAACAGAACTTGCTGATGGTCCTGATGGAAGCAGGTATAGTAAGCTGAGAAGGGCAGAAGCAAAAACAGCAGGTCATGTGTCAGAGAAGGAAGGAAGAGGATGGTAAGAAAATATGGGGTTTTTGGTTTTTCCCTCAAGACAGTTGCTGAGGGATAATGTTGGGGTTTTTTGTTGATGTTGTTGAGAGAAAGAGGAGGAGAGAAGGGAGAGAGAAGAGACAGAGATACAGAGACAGAAAGACAGAGGCAGAGAGAGAAATTTGAGCATCCTTAGACTAGTGAGAACAGACCCAGAGCGTAGGTGAAGGGGCAGCTTTGGACATATTTAAAGAAATGACAAGTGGTCATAATAAAGTTCATCAGGAGAAGCAGGAAGTTGGTAAAAGTTCACAGTTGTGGGTTATTACACGCTCCTTAAGAACACACAGAAATGGCAAAGAATCTTTGAAGGCTACAATCTCCAG